TCTTCAAAAAGTTTTTTTACTTCTGTCATTTTGAAGGTGTTATTATTTTTTGCAACATATCCTTTAGCCTGCGCCCATACCAACTCAATGGGATTAAGCTCACAGTGGTATGGGGGCAGACGTAAAACAATTATCTCAAGCTGCGCTGCTATTTCGTCCACAACATACTTTTCGAAATGTTCTTGTTTGTGCTGCCGTACAATGTCTATAAGAGTAGCTTTAACCATTGTTGCTTCGAATGAAATATTTTTGCTCGTTAGCCACTCTTGTATTTTAGGTTTAGTCCAAGACATTTTAGGCAGCGATTCTAGTTTCCTGGAGTGGTAGGGGGCATTATCTAGCACTACTACGGAATTTGGTTTTAGTTTTGGCAAGACCCCACTAAACCACTTCTCAAAGGAATCGGCATTCATTTCTTGATGATAATCTTCTTTACTTTTTTTGGCTTCAAATATTAGTAAGCTGTCTTCTACGAATCCTTCTTTCCCACCTATGTGGCCGATAATTAATCGTTTGCCCTTTCCTGAAGGCTGTTTTAAGCCAGTAGTCAGGCTATCTAGGAAGGCCTGGCGAGTCGATAACACTGTCTGGTCAATCCATGCCGCGCTTTGTATTACAGCCGTCAAAAAACTGATTGTAGTTACATACTACTAGTACCTAACTTATATCAGAAATCTTTTATACAATTTTAAAATACTAATAATATTATTTTATAGTTTGAAATGATTAACTATTTACACTCACTCATTGTTCATTCATCTGATTGAACAAGAACTGAATGTATCACTATTACTTTAAATGTGGCAACATTATTTTACTAAGTGACATTAGCTACTGTCAGATAGCTTCGTCTAATTAAAAATTCGACTATAGAATACTTTTCGACACCAATATGGCTAGACCCCCAGTGTGTGAGATAGCGAATGATTGACATAACTTCATAATGTATATCTATATTCTATATGCCACTAATATTTCCATGAGAATTTTTTTCCCTATTTTGTGGGGTAATTTTTACTATAAGAAATACCCCACAAAAAAAATTCAGGGCGTGCTCACTCACTCCACACGCATATTAATCAGTTACGTTAAATTAAACCACACCCGAACACTCTATACAACCGCTGCGTAGTAAATGTTCCCCTAATACACCACAGACTTCCATTATAGGAAGTGTGTGTAATACACAGACGACGTTTTTGTACACGCACAGCTGTGTGCGTGAAGTCTAGGGCTACCGTCTACACTGTGTAGAGTGTACACTGTACAGTCTATATTGGTTAGGTTAGATTTGAATATTAGGTATAAAAAGTGTAGGTATCGCACGTGGTTGTAAAAACGTTTTATTTTTTTCTTTTGAAAACAATTCATTTCAAAGTGTCTTGAGCATATCCGGGCGTTTTGAGTTGGATGCCAGATTGATCTACCCGTACACTCAGTCAATTTATTATTTAAAAACGGTTCATTTGGAAAACTGAAAAAAGTGGAAAATTTATTCAAGTGCCCCGGTAGCCCCAACGAGTTATAATCCAACTATTTACAAAGGACACGAAGTGTGGCAACTATAGGTCTACCTGGATCTGATGGCAAAAAGGGAAAAAAGGAAATGACGCTAGCAATACTGGGGAAATTGGCGTAAAGCGTTTTGATACTTTTTGAAGTTATACTTCTTTAGGCGCGTTATGAAAAATTTATGAGAGTGAAATTTTACAATGCGCGCGCACCCGTGACACAAAATTAGGAGTGTGATTATAGCGTGCGCGAGCGAGATAGGAATAAGACAATCTACAAGTAAAAAGAAATAGAATATGCGTGAAGTTCGTATGCCAACAATTTTGAATGACCATAATGACATTTGTCATTTACCTTTTAAACAAATAAAGGAGTTTTAATTATTTTTTCAAAGAAATTTAGCGATGCTTTTGAATTATAATCAGAAGTGATTTAAATTGAATATTTAAACCAATACTAATTAATATTTGTGAAAAAACTGTGCTCATCAACCTTCCTAAGTGCTTCAATACAATTGAGGTTAACTATCCGTATGTATTATTATTATTATCGAGTAATGTTTTGATTAAAAAATTAACCACATTGTTTAATCAAAACATGTAATTTTTCTGATTTTATCTAGCAAATATAAGGAAAAGAGACAAAAAACAATTGATGAATCAGTGTAACTGCACTAAATTGAATACAAAAAAAGAGTTTTCATCTTATCGCTGTGAAACATCAAAAACTGGAGGTGGAACAAAGCCAAACTATTTTTAATATTGCCAAAGAAGTATAACTTCTTACGCGCGTACATAAGTACACGGACCCTTTTTTTTTTCTTATAGCGGCTGATTGTGTGTGATATACGCAAATATAAAGTTTATCCAATGATCAAAGATAATTTTTGAAAATGTGGCGAATGTGGGGTTTGAAATTGAGATGAAAACTCCAATTACTTTGTTCATGAGTTTATTTATTAATTAAGAACTTGAAAATTGTTCCAAATACTGCACATCCATAAAAAAGTCTTAAACGCAGTATTTATGATAAACTTTTCCTCCTGTATCTCAATTAACCGATCTTGTTCTTCATAGAACAAGATCGGTTAATTATTAACTGATTTTCAATTTTTATTACATGTTCACAAGATTTTCACAATTCACCGATCCCTATTTGAGAGAAAGAAACAGTGTAAAACTCATTTATCTTGTTTCTGATCAATTCTAAATAAAAACTATCCAAGTTTATTTGTAGTATAAGAAACCCCTGAAATAAACCAAAGTTTAGTATAAGTACATAATATAATACACACGAAAAATCTCATTAACCAAAATATCAAGACGTGCCATTCCTACTAACCAGGCAACGCTTGCATAGTGCTCAATATCGATGATTGTGTATGTTCTGCATCTTGTTGATCAAGTATTCTTTGATAAACATTGAAAACAATGTCTTGCTTGCGACCGAAGAGGTTTCTTCGACATTTTCATCACTTTTTAAAGGAAGTTTGAAGCCAAACCAAAAACAAATACTCGAAATTTCAGTTGACAGATGAAATTTTTCTTTTATTGCCATATGAAAATCGCTAATTTTTAAACGTTTTTTTTGCCATCAGATTCTGGTAGACCTATACCTGACGTAGGTAACATGATTCGCAATTTAGTCGGTTGTCACTGAAAAATATGTTAGGAATTTTCGTATTTACAGTTTTAATTCATTGAAGATTGCTTATTATTGACCAAAATACACATTCGAATGAATAATTCTTGAACAAAGTTACTGAGTCGTGACAAAATAAGCTACTTACCGATGAAAAGTTATGTTTGGTTCTTTATGTTCACTACGGCTTTTACAGCCAATTATGCAACAATTTACCATGACTGTCACTTTCAAGGATAAAGTCTCAAAATATGGGTTTGGCTTGGGTTTCACAGATTTATCAGTAAGCGGTGAAAACTTGTTTGCCACCAAGGGCTCAGTGGCATACAAATAAAACCCGATACGCAAATAGAGACAGAAAAACTGATATTCTGTTGCGCTCGCACTTAAGTATTTCACGTTAATGCCTTCTCTCTTTAGTTATTATTGTTATTTTAGAAGCTCATCTAGTTCTATACTCTATCAACGGTGACACCATTTATTTTTTACACGGTTTGCTTCAGTTCTTCTTAGTTCAAAACTTACTTAAAGTAAATGTATTTAGAATTCGTATAAAATTATTTTTGCAAGCGGTGTAAGGCCACATAGATTTTGACATTTAAAAAAATATTTTAATGCCATCACTTTGAAATAATTTATGAAAGGATAAATAAAATTAATTACCTAGGAGATACTACGAACAACCAAAAAACGATCATTAATTTAACGAGATGGATTTCAAAATTAATTCATTGTCACCATATCAAGACGATAAAGTAAATAATAACTACTTTGAACTTAATAAACCATTCGACTGTGATGTACTTTACTATTTCGATGAGAAGGGAAGTAAAGGTAAACAGATTAATCTTACATTAGATATGTTATTTAGAGATCCTAAATAATAAATAAAATAGAAATTTAATTTATTAAAAACAAGACAACAAACTCGTACGTTTTTGTAAGTATTACAAAGGCGGGAAAAATTGAATTCTGAAGTCTGGATCAATAGTTTAGGTAGAAGTTTTAAGTAAATTTGCACAAGCGCCATCTCTTAGCATGTAATAACTGATATTTTTTTTCACTTTTCCGTGTGATATATCCGTCCGTAGCCTAGGAAACGGGTGTAGCTACAACAACATACCTTGTGTTACATAAATAGTTAATATTCCACTAATTTTCTGTTAATTGTAAATTTATTATTCTTTAAAAAAAAGGATAGTCAACGCTCGTTTATAAAAACGTCTTTCTCGGTGGCAAATATATTGGAATAATAGTATGGCTGGCAGGTTGGTTTTCTTTACAATAATTTAGATATAATTTTTTTTAAACAATTATATTATTCTTATGTAAGTAATGTGGTTGTTAGAATGCACTATCCCCAAAAGGCAAAGAGATTACATATTATCTACGCTATCGGAAAAGAGGGGTGATATAGTACCTGGCACCGACCGTTCTTATCACGCACACATCGAATAAAATAATTTCAATGGGGCGTCACATCAGTGATAATTAAGCATAGTTTTATCCTAAACAATATAGTCCAATACTGCTGGTGTAAAATAAATTAACCTATTGAAACAAATGACAATTTGCAATACCAATCATAAATAATTTACAAACATATAAGCTAATTACATATTACAGGTACTCAATAACATTTAAACAATAAAATCAACATATGTATAGTTAGCCATGCATGTAGAACAGAGACAGGTGGTGTCACTGAAGCATAACACACCTGCACAACCCCACCATCACCGCGGTACACTAATCAGCAATGCAGTAACATAGGAACTGTTGTTTGATCAATATTGTTATAATCTAGCCTGCAATGTACACTTGTGTATAACATTATTGTGTTGAAGATGTCTGAAATGGGTCTGGAGAATGTGTTTTATCTCGAAAGTGAGTTGATTTACCTGTGTAAAGGTGCGGAGGGATGGTGTTGCTTGGAAACACTCCCCGGATACTGGGCTCTTAGCCGGAGACAGATCAATAACATCTCCATCCGTCAGGATGGTGTTATGCAAAACATCTGCCTGCATAGTTTTAACTGCTTTATTTTAATAGTATGCATGTTCCTCTAACATTATTTGACTTAAAAATTAATTGCATGCTGTATTCTGATTTAAGTAATTTTATGATTTGCTTGAACTACATCCACTCCTTTTTTAAACTTATATATATACTTTTTTCTGTAGTATTTTTTTAAATATTGTCTATGTAAGTGTAATACAATGCAGGTGTATTATAAAGAGGGTTGTAAGCCCCAATTAATTAGTTTTGCTCTTAAGGGTATGTTGTCAGTTGCAATTTAATTTCCAACTCTCAAATTGCACATTATTAAAAGGCAAACACTATTCATATATTGTTACTAATTGTAATGAAGAATACACATAATTTAATTTGAATGTCTATGAATTAAAAAAACTCAACAATTTATTATTAATAAAAATATTAAAAATTTTGAATAATCATGATTTTGTCTTTAGAATACTACTCATGTAATGTAATTTGCAAATAAATTAGAAAATGAAATAATGCCATTGATTTTTTTAAATGTGTAAAATTTTGCAATTGGATAATATAAATTTTGTCATTCATAAAAGTCCGACGGCTTTTGAAGCTACATATTTGTGTTCCCGCTAGAGTTTAATTGAAAACATTGTTATATTGTCAAGTGCCGTTTAACTACAACATATATTTGAGATTTATCACTATGCCTAATATGTTTACACACGTAACTAAAACTTTATCGCATAGTCAAGTTTCCGTCCCTATATGAGTTTTATCTATACATAGTGATAGTATGAGTTCTACTTTCATATATATTTCGGAATTATTAAAATTTTATTGCTATATTTACAAGTGCTTATGTAGCAAATTACGCTAAACATTGCGAAGTAACCAGCAGTTAAGAAATAAAAAAATGGTTATTTATGATTAATGAATTTGTTGACAACAGTTAAGAAACTCAGCTGGGTTGGGAATTTAAATAAAATATGAACTCTAACTGGATGAAGGACGTGTCCAAGGCCCAATTGTGTCAAATCACAATCAAACGATGGCGACATCGTCATTTGTTTTACATTCTCACCCCTTGATAGTACATATTCTTAATATTCAAGAATGGTTTAAGAAGACGCGATTCCAAATGGAATTTAAAACAAAAGACGGATTTTGTCTCGTGTCTGTGACTTGATCTTACGTTATGGTTTATGATATTTTGATCAACGAAATGCTCTATCGTCATTTGTTTGAACGGCTGACCAAGTTGGTAAATTATTTTACTTAGTATTTTAGCGATACATTGGAAATGTGAATTGCAGGTTTTGATTGCGCGGGCGACGAGGTGCTTGTGGAGTCTTCGCCGCCCGCCTCTCCCGTCATGGCGGCACAGCTGGCACAACCCACACAGGTTACTTTTCATACAAATTATTTAATATATTTTTAACACTTCTTTGGTGAGTACATGAATATATATGTTCTTCTCTACACTACACTCAAATCCGTATTTTTTTTGGGATTTCTCTTATCTTGTCGGTATTATCAATGTTTTTGAACGTGAAATGAAACGTGAACAAGAGTGCGACTAGCGCCATTCAGATTTCAATAGGGTAATTAAATTATTTATGTGTTATATTTTTGTGTAACATTTGTCTCCACGCGTATCTCGTGTACTTATTTTATTTTATTTATTTAAGAACACTTCGCTGCTCACAGAACTATAATACAGTTGACATAATTAAATGAAAAGGAGGGCAACTGGCGGCCTTATCGCTTTCTACCGACCTCTTCCAGGCAACCAATGTGAGAGAAAAAAAACGACGGCTTGCACTCCGGGTGTGCCGACAGAAGTGAAAACTTGAATATTAACGTTGTGCATTTTTGATATTTTGCATTAGGGAATAATGTTGCACGAATTGCTTTAATTGTCAGTATAAAAGTACTATCATATATGTGGTAGAATACAATATTTATTTATTGCGCTATCGTACACAAACATGACAATTTATATTACATTAAATACGCCGCGCCAGCTGTCTACTCTCCATCCGTCTTACGAATTTTCGATCAGGTCACGTGTCCTGACGCGAGTTTAACATTTTTTTTTAATAGATGAAGAAGTGCAAAATACATAAGACATAAAGTTATTTAGACAAAACGAATGGAACAAAACAAAGCAATTCAAACATATGTAAATAGTGAATAGGACATTATTAACAAAAAGGACACAAGAAAAAGAAAAAATGCACATGGTTTGGTCACTATGGTTAATATACTCACAAATTGATAGTTAGTTTAAATATGTGAGAATTAACAAATTAAGTCGTTTAGAGCTTTACAATTAAAACCTGAAAAGTTATATTTGTCTTAATGTGATTTCTTTGAATAAAATTTATTGGAAAATCATTGTAGTTAAATTTTCAGCTATGAATGTGAAACTAATGAATTATTATAGCTTTTGATCTGAATTAAAGTTTTCCCTTATTATATGAACTCTACAGCCAAGATAGTTTTAATTTTAATTACAAGTTATTTATTTATAAGTAATCTTACAGCTATACATATTATAAAAGAAAACACTTATACACTTAAACAAAATATATGAAACAGAAAACATATATCAATTAAGTACATTAATAGATATAAAAATGAAAACTGAAATTATCAATAAACTTAATATTTTAAAGAAAAATCTATATAGTTGCAACTGCTAAATAAAGTCCAAAGTCTTCCCGTTTCGTAAATTTTGGTAAGGTGGAAAATGGCAACATGTTCATAATTTGTGTTAGTTACCTCCATATATCTATTTCCAAAGCGCTATTCAAACTCCCGGACTTGATATTGTTTCATTGTCTTTTGCTTCCGAACGATTTTAAGATGGGGTTATTAAAACAACATTTCCAGGGCACCAGCAGTAGTACATCGCCGAGTGCCGTCCGGGAATTAATTGTGATACCAGAGATTAGCAACGGGATAAATTTGCAACATGCAATACAACAGGTAACATATGTATAGGGCTTGGTATCACGTTAATCTTGTAAGGCTATACTCCCAGGAATACTCTAATTAGTAGTTTCTGAGATTCTACCAAACATGTTGCTTTATACTGTATCTATGTATGTACATGAGCAGAGGATAATGGGATGCTCAATTCTAAGATGTTCAGCTGTATGGATTCATCTTTTTATGAGCTATTGTACAAATGGAATATCCATTCGGAAATTTGTCTTGGGTTTTAATCAGGATCGAGATCATCCAAGTAGTTGTCATTCGGGAGTCAAGTCTCATTTCTATATGTCATATTTGCAGTCCACAGTTAAGGTGGTCTAGAATTGTATAGTAAGTTTACTGAAACCAAACAGTGATTACTTCAAATCGTTTTAATTAACGAAATTAGTATACAATTGTTGATAGGAGTAATAAGATAACCGTCTGCAAGTTAATATAATATAAATAACACTTTACATAACAATAACACAAGCAGATAAATAAAATTAAATAAATTAAATCAAAGGACCTAAATGGGCGGTCTTACTGGTAAGAGCAGTTTCTTCCAGTCAAAATAAATTATATGAATATAAATTACATATTTGAAGATATTATGTGTGCATTTCTGATATTCCAAAATCCTTAATTAGTATTAGTATAAGTATTAGTAATTAGTGGTGGTGCGCGGCAAAAACTGTCTTAAGAAACGCGACTTAAAGAAGTCCCCCCGTCGCGTCTGTTTGCAAGAACGCGATAAACTCGGCGGCATGGATTTTGGTAGTGTTTTCACGGGTCTGATTCCTGATATCGTTGAAGAGGTCGCAAAATCTTAGAAATACCCGATATTCAGGCGAATTGAGGGCGGGACGTTCTATTTAATTGACATTTTTGTCTTTAAATATTTTTCAGGTGTCTACATCAGGCGTGGAAGTAAACGGAGACAGTTCGGGACATTCGAGCCCCAATAACGAGACACAACATACTTATATCGTAGCGAGTGAGTTTTTTAAATTGTGATATTATTTTATGTATGTATGTTTAAAGCTGTTTTAAATTTATATAGACACCGCAATGTAAGAGTTTTCTTTAAGTTTGTAATAATTATATGATGTGAAATGGTAGTACTATACGGTGGTTACGATAGTTTTTTATCGAATAATTTGAATAATTGTATGAACTTGTGATGGTGTCAATTTGGGAGCAAACCTGGGTACAAAAAGTTTAATATTATTCGGGATTGCTATCGTTACTGGTAGTGATTCAATCAATGCAAAATTCGACTTATTCGATAAGCTTATAATAGTATTTTAAAAAAATATCCCCACACAAGTACATTCCTGTATTTTGTTGATATGATACTCTTCGGTTTATATGTACTAAGGTACTAAACGGTAAACCTTACCTTTTATACAAAAAAAATTGTAATAGAAACAAAAAAGCATGTAAGATTATAAGTCCAGACATATTTGGCTAAGTAGCTATTCTAGAATACTTTTCAAGACAGTTTTTGACAGCTGCTCGAGTAATAATAATGCTCTTAGTAGAATTTTTAGAGTAGTTACCGAACTTCGAAAATCTTCACGGATTGTCAGTTTTTGACAGAATAAACTACTTACTACGCGTATACTATTCGATATTTTGGGTAATATATATAAATATTATGAATAGTGTCTAATTTGCATAAAAATCAATTATTAAACAAAGTTATGTTAGAGAGAAAATGCAAATTTGTTTAACGAGGGCGAATCCGGCGTTTACTTCGAGGGCATCATCACGTCATCATATTTTCTAGTAGTTCTGATTTTGATTATACAGAATCTAAATATCCAGTATATAAAAGACAATGGTAAAATGAGGAATGGTCTTGAGGTCATGACGTACCTGGATCCGCCCTTGACATTTATTTCTGAGTGGCATGGTGTTTCGCTTATTATATTTGCACTTTATTGTGTGATGCACAGACAATGTGAAAGAGGAGCCCAGTGAAGACTTCAGCGGTGAAAGCTACGATGAATGCAAGTGTTTTTATTTTATTTTTGGGATGGTTTGCTTTGCTTATACTTTATATTTTAACATACTAACTTATGGTTTAACTAACCACTATATATACTAGCAATGTGCAATGAAAAAGCGAACTAAAAAACAAGTGTGTGCGTATATAGCACACCTGTCAGATGTGAAACTTGTCATAGAACTTGAAAAGTCTTGTTCATATTTATACCAATCTAAAATTTTAGACTTAGAGGGAGGGAAAAAGGCGGATATGTTAGGAATTTAATGAATTTAATTGTTATTAAAATATTAGACGTGTCGAAAATGAATACAAATTATAAATTTAATTCATTAAGTTTATTTCTTCGATAATAAAAACACGTGGCATTTTAATTTAGAATTCGTCATTTGAGATTTCAATAAATTATTTTGCATAAAATACTAATATGTCATAAATTCTCTTTACAAAATTTTAATTTTAAAAATAGTATTTCTATAAGGTATACCCTTCTCACTCTCTCTAAATCGGTCTCAATCGCTCTGTCCCTTTTCTTCGACAAAAACGCTGCACATCTTCGTGACGTTCCGTCAAAATTTTACTCTCATGCGCCTAAAGAAGTTTCACTTCAAAAGCAAATTTGGTATGCATTAATAATAATACCTCGATAAATATAACACCGATTAATTAAGAATGTAAATAATACGCTATTTGACAAGACTAAACATTTTTTAGATTATTAGTAGACTATGGAACATATACAGTTATATATTTTTTGATTCTGTTGGATTTCAACATTCAAATTACATAGTCGTAATTTCATGAACTCGCCAAACCGCTTATCTTTGCAAAAAGTCTCTATAACGTACCACTATTGTTAACGACAAGTATTTTACGTATTAATTATTATTTTTATATTAATAAAGCCTTTTGATTCCAAAGATGTTATAATGCATTAATTAAAGATAGATATAGTATAGAAACCTCATGATAGGATCCTCCAACTCCTTCCAAAGTTCCCTTTCTTGGGCTTGCCATGTGCCACCAAGTGCTCCAGGACGTTTATTATCATTCTTAAATCACAAATACACGTATGTTTCAATCAGAAACAGTGTCAACGAAATTAAACTTCAAGATATCTGTTACTATTTTGTGTCACGTGATTGACGTAAAATTCTTTAAAAAATATTTACGAATTATTTTACTTAAAAACGCTTTTAAAACCTGTGTTTTATTACGTACAGCTTTCTCTCAATAATACTTTTTCAAACTGTCAAATATCCTATTTTCTCTCCGTGTGCAGCCGACGACCAATATTTTGTTGCCGTATAAAAAAAAACATTTATTTTTACACAACATTTTAATATGTTTTCTCCTTACTGTGTATAAAAATATACTAAAGAAAACCTGCTATGTTTTCCGTTGTTATGACCTGCGTAAGAGTCCAAACAGAAGTCGTATCAAACGACCCTCGACATTAAATATCTGATTATCCTGTCAAACTGATACCTATTAAATCTGTGTTTTTTAATTCACACAAATGTAACCGTTACATCATGCACCTTAGGGCTTCTAATGCCGTGCGGTATTAATTGGGGTGTTTCAATAAAATCCTTAATAATAGATAATTTGCCCCCTCGGATTATTTACCTGAGTGATCACTATCAATGCGCATTGTTAATCGAACCTGCTGCACTTTGATGTGATGCGGACCAGTCCTTTTATGTAGGATGATAATGTTCTGCGAATTTGGCACGTGTCGTGTTATTGAGTTTCATAATAAAATGCTTATAAGAAATAAAAATTGTAATAGAAAAATATATTTTTTTTTAAACACAATCATATACTTAAATTAATGAATTCCGTAATATAACTGTTGATAAAAAACCTTTTATTTCATTGTTTTTACTGATACAAAACATTTTCATTAGATATAAATTGAAGTCAAAAAAATAACGGGTATAAACGCGTTTATTCGTGTTTTCAGTAATACAATTGTGACTTTTAAAATGTTTGATTTGAATGTGTAGCGTACTCCAAAGATAAATAATAATTAAATGTTTAGTAACGCGTAAATTTAAATTATACGCATCTAGTACATAATGCCTTAAATTTTTATCTCTAACTCAAAATAACTTTGTTCATATAGATAACCAAGTACACTTATGAACGTCTACACAAAAGATTTTTAATCAGTTTTAAATTTACATGTACTATTCGCAAGTCAAGGGCGTACACCGGGCAATATCTAGAAGATACTTTATACAAGAATATACTCTAAATTATTGGCATTTTTTTTATTTGTACAATGTTCTTCATAAAAAAATACCTATTGCAAAAAACACCTTGTATTGAAAGAGGGATCATTTAATGTATCAATTACTTGTATTAATTGGGGTGTCTTTTCACCCTTTGGCAAAAAATCAACCTGTTAAAATGTGAAATTATAGACCATAGTTATACAGTAGGTATCAGTGGGCGTGGACAGGTAGGGTGTGAGACATCGTCGGGTGGGAGTGAGATAGACGCATCCTCTAAATACAGTGGTCCATCGGAAGCTGTACTATAAGCGATATGATTTTAAAAGTTTCTAGATTTTTTTATATAAAAATGGACTAAGAAGTAACAATATTTCTATTGAATGGTCCAAGAGAATTAAATTCAAAGAATATTGCTATTTATTTGGAAGTCGTTAATAGTTAAAAAATGTCAGGTATAATGTAAGTGAGACCTTAAATTTGTCGGAGTGCAATTAACATTGCTGTCGTTCAAGGAAAATCATTTATCTAAGTGCGAATGAAATTCGAAATGCGTTTAGCCTTTATGAACGCAAATTCTTTCAAAAATGTCCAAGACGATATTATCCTAGTCCTTATTTCAGCAGTTTTGGCCTAGTGGCTTCAGCGTACTCTTCACAACAATTCGATCACCAATAAACTGTTTATGCACTCGCTTGTACGGTGAATGAAAACATTGATAGAAAACTGAACTGACGGCGTGTGTCTTGCTGATTTTGATAGATTTGGCATATCCTATAACCCGCACATATTATTTAAAATTTTAGAATTTAGTTTCTTATCCCACATTAGCCACTCTACCCTGAGGTCGTGAGTTCAAACCAATAGCACAAACTACATGTGTCAGACACAGAAGGCTGACGTACTTGCCAATAAAAAAAAATCGAAATATATTTCGTTCGTTTTCCCCTAGAAGGTTGTAGTGCCACTGGTTGTATGTACAGTTTTTTTATATAATAGGGGGGCAAACGAACTTGCGGGACGTCCAAAAAGGGCCGTGTCTATGGGCTGCGATGACTGCCCATTTTTAGTGGGTGCGTTGCCGGCCTCTGAGGGAGGAGTATACTCGTTTTTTGAATTTTTGGAGGTCGTATCTCTGAAGGAAGACCCCCCACCGGGAGTCGATTCCACATATATTCTCTTAAAAGAGCATTTAATATAAATTATTTTTATAATACTTCTAATTCCTTGGAATATTGTATTAATGCAATAAATATAGATATAACTCATTAAAAAAAGCCAATACAGTTTACCATTATAATAATAATGTCGTAAAGTCTCGAGAACGGTTAGATTTTTTATTATCGCTTCTATTTGACACAACCCTATGCATGTGGGTGGAAACTTTCTCTCTCGGTCTGGGAAGCTGTCGAGCTGAGTTGCCTGGGAGACCTCTGCGGGTATGGAGGTGCGGTACCGAGCATACTACCCCTGTGAGTACCGTCGTCAAGGCGTCATATTACGTGAACTTGAACTAGCCTTTGTCTCTAATACGTCTTAGTTAATTTTCCCCGTCAATAGATTTTAATTTTTAACCTTTGGTTTCACGCGAGTTTGTTAGTCTGTGTTTTATACGCGTTTGGGCGAAGTATTAAGGAATAACATTTTTATATTACTAACCGCTTTATTAATGTTTTAATTATAAACTAAATAATAACTATTTATCGTTGCGAAAGGAAAAAATTGATTTTAAATTTTTTTACTTGTAATATATATTTTCTTTGTCGCTTTTCATGTCGCTCATATATGTCCATTTATTCAGGTTTATCTTAAATCTTATAATTAATTTACATATATATGCCAGAACTAATTATATATTTTAATAACATTATATTACTTACTACTTAACTTAACTATTAACATATTTTTATCGACTCTAAAAATTAATCCCAAAATCATACTATAATCCTCAGATAGCTAATCAATAGTTTTTAATTTTGCGTGATCTAGAACATTCTCCGTAGTGCGTTTACGGATCAAACCTCGATATAAAAAAGAACCTAAGTGCGTATTTGTTGCCATGGTTACCGTTTTTAATGGCCATGGTAACCATGGTCACAAGGTACTCTTAATATGGCTCTTAATAAATCAATATTTCTAACTAATTCTGCTTATTGTGCGAATTTCCTTAGAAGGCTATAAAGCACTCGAACGATTATACTCGTAAAATATCCTGGTTTTATTAAAATGATCTTAAAAACTTGGGACTTAGGAAATGCTGTTAGTAACGTGAGCAGGTATGTCTGTTGCAGGTGAAGGCGGGAATGGCGTAAACTATCACGTACAATATGTGGAGCCGCAAGAGATATACGCACAAGGATCGCAGCAGCATATGTAATTATAATTTTTATTTTAAAATTATTTTCTTATTAGCGACTCTTATCCCTGAGGTCGTAGGTTCCCCGGCTGTGCACCAATGAACTGTCTTTCTAAGTGGTTATTTAAAATTCCCTCGAGCGGTGACGGAAAACATCGTGAGGAAAAAAGCCGACGGCGTGTCAGGTACAGAAGGCTGATCACCTACTTGCCTATTAGATTGACAAATGATCATGAAACAGATACATGAATCTGAGGCCCAGACCTAAAAAAGGTTGTAGCGCCACTGATTTAATAGGACTTTGGGGCACTTATTATGACCCGTTTTTGTCATACAGTTACACATTTTAATTTCAATCTCGTCAATTATATCGAACTTGGAAAAATTATTTGACAGCTCTTGAAGTTTGACATTTTAATACTCTGAGGCGTAGTGGTATTTTCTTCTCTGAAAGTGTTAAATAATACAAAAAATTAATTGAAGAGAATTATAGTTTAAGGCAGTTAACAACATGTGGAATCAGTGAACCACTGAAGTATTCTCGTACCAATTCGACTTAGGGTCCTTCAAAGAGCGTACCAATTCTTATGCGAGCCTTCTGATTCATGGCGGTATCACTTGACATCAGAGCCTGCTGCAAGTTTGCTCCCTGTTCTATAAAAAGAATTATCAAAACAATTCTAATTGGTACAAATACTTTTCCGGTTGTGTGAATGATTAAATATCGTATACGAGTGTAGAATGTGTTTCTTTGTTTTGGTTTACAGCTTTTGATAATTATAAAATCGCCTACTTGGCACTTAGGAATATCGCATTTTTCTAACTTTATCGACTGAAGACTAAAAAGTAAAAATACATATTTATATGTATATGCTTAGGTATAACGATAGTTACCTATTGAAAGTCAGTATTAGAAACCGCTAGCTCAATAGAGCTATAAATATAACGAAACTAATTAAGCTGACTTGAAATGCTTTGACAAAGTGATATTTCGTTTTACGTTTTTCAATAACTTGTTCACTTAGGAATCTCACTCAGAAGGGTTTCATTTTCCTTGAACTTGTTTCAATTGAGAATTGCGCAACTCATTTTCTGTCCTGTCCTTTACATTAGGTGGGCTTTTTGTAATTTAAAATATCCACGAGGTAAGGGTTAATAAGACGTGGGCGTAAAATAAACTTAGGCGGAAACAATGTCGGATTCCGCCCACTACGTTCTATTTATTGCAAAAGGATGAAATAAAAAGGATGTTTAGTTAAAAAGAAAGTGTACTACCACATTAGGTTTCCCTGTGTCGTGGGCAGCTGGTCTCTTCTATTATACCACATATTTACGGTACTTGACGTAATAATTTCTAAATAACACTTACAATTTTATAATTTATCTAGCTTACCCGGCAAACTTTTGTTTTGCCATGTATTGAAATAACTATCTACTATAATAAAAAATAGAGGTTGATCGCAGTGGGGTGACAATTAAGGGTTGTATTTATGATACAGCATCATAAAAAAATAAAGGGTGCGTGTACTTATGTACGCGCGTAAGAAGTTATACTTCTTTGGCATTATTAAAAATAGTTTTTGATTGCATGCAAATAATTAATTACAATTAAATAATCAAAGACTGGAAAAGGAGTCATTAAAGTCAATAAAGTTCAGTTTACATTTGAAAAATTAATTAAATAAATATTTATTATTATTCTCTTACATTAAACAAATAAAACACTATTTATCTTTAAAACATTTTTATTTCATTATACTATTTATTTTTAAGTGACTCTAATGTCTTCATCAGAATTTCGGTTTGTAATTTTAAATTAATCATTACTTGGTTGTGCATCTACGAGGCTTCTCCAAAACTACTTGCTTTCTGCAACAAATAAGAGAATATTAATTTAAGCTCTGTCCATACAAAACTTAAAATTTTTTATAATTCATATTATAATTTTTTTAACACATTTATATTAATATAATTATATAAATGTGTTAATAATATAATTTGTAGCACATGCTACAGACCTGGATAGCAACTTTCTTTTATTCTATTCAGAGATAGAGATAATTTAAATATAATACCGGTGTCTTCCTTGTAGGTTTCTTTGGAGTTGTTTGGGGATTCTTGTTGTTCAGTTCGACATGATTTTCTTTAACCTTTCTTTAATCCTACAAAATAATGAAATTGTTAAGTTATGTTGTCACTGTTGTGCACACCTTTGTTTGGCTTTTTTAGTATTCAAGTTATGTCAAAACTGATTTATTACCTTGTCATTGTTGGCTTTATTTGCTTTTGGGATATCAATTGTTTCCAAAATGATTTTATTTGTAATAACCTGAAATATATAAATAACATCTATTAATTTAAGTATCATGGTGAGTGGTTCGCACTCAGGTATTAGGTGTATTATACCCACTGTCCATTATAAGTGGGAATGGGCTCACTTCTGGCAGGACAGAGTTTCGGTACTACAAGTGCAACATGGATGTTTTGAGGTATTACAATATCTCTAACTACCCTGTAGGGGAATAAAGTAATGTTGTAAGCATATGCCTATGCTTGAAAGGTTGAACCTTGAACATCACCATACATCATATTTATAATTAACATTCCTACCTCGACACCATCACAATCAAATTCATTGAAATCTACTTCAAACCATTGTGTCTCGAGAAGGTGATGGTGGCTTTGTTCCACCTCCAGTTTTTGATGTTTCACGGCGATAAGATGACAACTCTTTTTTGTATTCAATTTAGTGCACTTCCACTGATTCATCAATTGTTTTTTGTCTCTTGTCCTTATATTTGCTAGATTAAATCTGATGTTTTGATTAAATAATGTGGTCATTTTTTTGAGATGCAGGTACTTATTAAAATGTTTACTTCTCTGTTATATCGCTCCAAGCCTTCATTTTCTCCTTATTAGTATTCGTGCTTAAATCTTTGTTCTCAATTATTGATATATAGGGTCGTAGAATATTTCTAAAAAGTTGCTGTAACAAACGCAATAAACAAAAGCAATGAATAATGGTTCATGTTTCAGTTTTAATCAACAATAATACTCGATAATACATACGGATAGTTAACCTCAATTGTATTGAAGCACTCAGGAAGGTTAGCACAGTTTTTTCACAAATATTTTATATTATTTCACAAATATTTTGTATAATGAAAATAACTAGGTATATAATTATTAATTTTAAACAATAATTAAAACTCCTATATTTGTTTAAAAGGTAAATGTCATTGTCAGATGTCAATTGTCATGGTCATTCAAAATTCTTGTTAAGCTGCTAAGCTAGAATATGCGTGAAGTTAGCTTCACGCATATTCTATTTCTTTTACTTGTAGTTTGTCTTATTCCCATCTCGCTCGCGCACGCTATATCACACTGCCAATTTTGTGTCATAGGTGCGCGCGCAATCGTAAAATTTCACTCTCATCAATTTTTCATAACGCGCCTAAAGAAGTACAACTTCAATAAAAAAAAACAATTTTTTTTTGTCTCAAAAATAAAAATTTAAGGGTGGGAAAACGAATTAAACTCCTATGTCGAAGTACCACAGTATATCTAAATTCAACTCACCGCCAACCTACATATAAGCTACCAAACAATTCGATTTAGGGTCCTTCAAGAAAAGAGCCCTCGCGAGCCCTCTGGCATTGAGAGTGTCCATGGGCGGCGGTATCACTTAAGGTATCAGGTGAGCGTCCTGCCCGTTTGCCCCCTGTTTTATAAAAAAAAAACTTGCCGTCATCTCAAAATCAAAGCAAGTATATTAGGGCACTCGTATATCGAGTTACCACTGTATTTATATATTGAAATGTGGATATAGCATTTAATTGTTCCTTAGGGAGACACTTCGAGCGTATCCAGTATTCGGAGTGGCGAATGTCGAGACAGTGGGCGAAGGGAGCGCTGATAATGAATGGGCGGGCGAATTCTCGTTCACTGACAGCGCGGGAACCTCGGGCTCGAGCAATGAGCAGCCCACGTCTCCTGCCCCACCTGCTCGAATGCCGCCCGCCACTGTGCAGTGGCTGCTCGATCATTACGAGACGGCTGAAGGTAAGGGCAAGTAAAAAATCTAGTGATTGGAAAGATTTTTTTTTGTCAGTTATAGTTTTAACAAATTCTCAGGCACTGTTACTTCTTCAGCGGCGGTTTTACAAATTTTCAAGTTATAGGCTGTGAAGTTTTGCCTCTACAATTGTCATATCCATGATTATTTTTATAATCCAAAAATGTCGTTGAAATTGAGTTTGATTTTTGGTTATACACAAACCAGTTTGCAGCCTCCTCTAAAATATGGATGTTTGCTACACCAAATGTAGAAGGGAGAGGGGAAAGTTGCAGACTTCTATCTGTAAAACATCAGAAAACCGTCATGCAGAAATCTTTTTGATTTCTAAGCAGGTACCAAAAAATCCCAAATTTGCCGCGCCAAAATTCTGCCGCCCTAGCCAACAGCCTTCTCAGCCTGCTGGTAAATCTATAGCCTATTAGTACACACAAAATTGCTATCCACTGCAGTACACGGTTGACTAGAAACAAATCCCTTTTGCACGCCTCTCACGTTTGTGCTGATCGTTTAATTGTCCTGTTAACAGATTGTGTCGGATTGACAATTAAACAGTAATAAATGACTCGTTGGACATTCAGCAACTCCATAGAGACCTTTTGCCGAGTCGTTTTAGAACCTTTGTTTCAATTATTTGCCTGTATCTGATGAGCGCTGCGCCTTCTTAAGTTCTCTTGTCATTTTTACACGTTTGTCCTCATATTATTTATTTATTTATTCCATATCATTATTCTATCTTTACAGTTATTACTAATTCGATAGAACGACACAATATTTATACCCACACCAATTAACCTAGATAAAAAACATTAAGAAATATATATATATATATCTTATAACTAATAATATAGGAAGCAACTCTTGTGAACTCAGCCAGTGTACAAACAAATAGGTCTACCTCCACAGACATTCTATTTATTATATGTATTGCTCGCGTGAGTGGCGCTTCGGTAACCAAGTTGGAATGTGCGCGCGGTACATCCAAAAGTTGAGACTTCCGCCTCAGGTTTTTACTTGGTACCCGTAGACTCAGTCTCTCCATTATATCCAGATTATGAACCCGACCCGTATATATCAAAGCTAGTTCTCTTCCGAGGCGTAGCTGGCCATAACCCACCATACCCAGAACAAACAGGGTCGGGTATATAAGCGGATACATCATACAAGGGATACACTCCATACAGTCTCTTATAGAGGTAACGAGTGAATTTATTTTGTACTCGCTCTAACATGAGACTGTATTTAGCCTCATATGTATTATACAGGGTTATTCGTAATTCGACGTATTCCCGTTAGAATGTGATAATACATCTATTCTGATAATTTAATGTCCTCATGCAAAAGTGTATCTTTTTGAGTTGATTTTTAGCTTTTTGTAATAAGTGCAACATCAAATATTTATTAAAAAAAGTATCTGTTTATATTAAACACAATACTTATAAATATTAGAAAGGGTTTCCCAACCATTTTTGTGTTATACCCCACCTTAGCCTACCTAAAATTCTTATGCAATATATAACATGCTTAATTTATATATTAATAAACTTAATTGTCCACTTAATTTAGTTGATAGGTTTTAGAATGAAATCACTAGGAAATTGATAAAGTAAATTTTCAAAACATATTGAAAAACTGGAATTCAAATTCCAAATAATTTTAATTAAGATTTATCTATATTAATTTAGTGAGGTCCTTGCGCTTGATGCTTGCTGCAGATTTTATATTGGGTTACAATTTAGATAGCTTAAGTCTCAAGTCTCCACATTGTCTTATATGCAGCTTTTTTCGATTTCCCCCCTTAAAAATCAAATAAAAAAACCGAGAGCATATTTTGTACGATCCTATCCATATATACGAAATGGTCTGAAAATCAGGGCTGTGGTCTCAAGGCGCTTTATAAGCATACAGCGAACGTACTCATCTATGATTGTTTTAGTATTTTGTTTTATCCTATAACGTCTGAAAAGCCCGCGTAGTCCTGGAGTGCGAGGAACCAACACATAGAAATTCTCGGAGTAGTAAGGTCGCTCCGAGAGGCCTACGAAGTGCCCAGGAGACTTTTGTGCTTCTAGAAGAAGCTAGGCTGGCTTAGTTAGCCAGGACTTTACGCACAATAGACCTAGTGAGAGTATTAGTGCAGAAACTGAGTCCAACAACCTTTTTAACCGTCTGAAAAGGGCACATACGATTAGCTATATTACTTTAGTTAAGGAATTAACATAGGTTAACGGATCTTTTTTATTTTCCGTTGAGTTTACTTACAATAGTTCTATTATTTGTTTCTAGAAGTTAATTTTTTTTATTATATATTTTTTTCTAATTAATTTTTTATGTTGGTTTTCTATTTCGAGTGTAATTTTTTTTCATTGGTTACGCATTTTTGCCGATTTAGGGTCACCTGTGTGTTTTTTTTAATAAATAACATACTTCTCTGTAAATGTGTTAATAAATGTTTCTTTTTAGATATTTCATTTAATTTCCGTATTTTTACTAGATAATTTTGTCTTAGGCGTGTCTCTTCCCCGTTCGACTCTTTACGCGCATTACTTACGGCACTGTACCACACACCGCCTCGAGCCAGTGAACGCGGCGTCGTTCGGCAAACTCATACGTTCGGTGTTCGTTGGGCTGCGTACGCGCAGGCTGGGAACCCGTGGGAATTCGAAGTACCATTACTATGGGATACGGGCTAAGCCCACTGCGCCGAGAGACTCGCCCACGTTCCCTAATAAGTTGGATATGGATGAACAACATGAGGTATAAATATTTATTTTTAATAGTTTTTTATATATTAATTTCTTAAGCAATTCACTTACATAAAAATATATGATTCTTTTGGCTAGTCGTTGCACTTTAAAAATAAATGACATGTGGGTAGAAACAAAATTAATTATAGACCAAAGGTAGTTGAAAAAGATACTTCCATTACGACGCTTCGGTGACGGAAAAATTTGTGTTCCAGCATCACATAAATTTTGTTTTTTTTAATTAATTATAAAATGTGTGTATTAAAAATAATATATTAATCAATAATAAGATAAGATACCTCAGACAATTAAATTTGTATAACTCTTTTTGTAATATAGGATGTGCGTCGTGAAGATCAAGGCCCGGTGGGCATAAGTGGGTCAGCTCACCGCCAGTACTTGGGAGCCGTGATCCCACCGGACCCACCAGATATCTTCATCGACGATCTGCCTGATGATGTGCCGATCAATGCTGCACAGCTTTTGCAGATTCATCATCGGTAAGCTTTTTGTTCATTTTTAACCATATTTAAATTTTATATATTTATTTTTAAATAAAAACGCGGCTTTAATGTTTAATATTAAGCCAGTGCTACAACTCTATATGGGTATGGCCCCAAATTGAACCCACTTTTGTTTTTAAGACCATAGAAAACCCATGTGTGTACGTAACTCGAACGAACACGACGTCCGAGGCCCGTATGAAATGTCTAACTTGAAGTTTTAGGAACTGTCTTAAACGACTAGGTGATTTTATTTGATATTTAGGGGTATTTAAAGTTGGTCATAGGGGGAATATTCTGTAGGAGTTGGCATAGGTATTGGGTCTAAATCTAACAAGTTCTCCATAATGTGATAAAAACGTGTATGAATCCGTTAAAACAGTCTCCTGTTCGTACAGAGAGCATGGCATAGAGTTCCTAGAAGCCGTCGCGGCGTTGGACACGTCTGCCGTAGAGCGCGCTCGACGCAATTTCTGGAAGCGTCCGCCGGGCGAACTATGCCGACGTGCTCTATACAAATTGGCCACGCGGCGGGATGTCGCTGTGTGGCTGAGGAAGGCCGAGTTGCAGTTGTACCAGAGAGCTGTGGATCTGCTGTTGCCTGATGTGTTGCGGCCTATACCGTCGCAGTTGACTCAGGTGCGTCCAGTTTCACTTTGTAGATAATCAAAATATCATACAAGATAATATGTTCTCACCTCTGGGCGAGTGTTCCCCACTACAAGCTCCTTCCACTTGACCGTATTTAACTATAAAACGGTTCGAATCGTCGAATATTGGCTAAAGATGTGGGGTCTCTCTGCATCTTCTACCGCATCTACAATGGAGTGTTCAGATGAGTTGTTCCGATTAATACCTGCAGCTGAGTTTCAGCATCGGACGTCGAGGCAGAATTCACAATTCTACCCGTATCACCTTGATGTCCGTCGTTCCACAACTGTTTTTGTGTGCCATATATCACCAAAGCACCAATTCAAGGAAACCTTTTTCATAGGCGATCCGTAATTTCGCTAAAAGCCTGGAAGGGGCTCTGGCGGGTGGGGGCAGTGGAGCCCCGCCCTTAGCCCAACGGGCCCAGAGCTCAGCAGCGGCAGCCTTGGCCGGGGCTCTGAGGCGGTACACTTCGCTTAACCATCTGGCGCAGGCCGCCAGGGCAGTGCTCACTAATCAGCATCAGATACAACAGGTAATAAAAAGCTTTTGTTTTATTCTTTTATATAAGGGAGCGTTCAAGTATTACGTCAATTTTTGGAGATTATTGACCCCCCCCCTCCATGTAACGCGCCGTAACTATTTCTGTACCCAATAGTAAAACGTTCCTCCCAGTGACTCTTGATATCTAAAAGTAACCCTTATATAAAGTACTGGAAAGTTGAAATTAATATTATCAATAACGTGTATTTCAATCCCAGCCCCGCATCGTAAGGTTTTTCAAAAGGTACCCCCCTCCCCATAATTCGTTACGTTCCCTAAGTAATTGAAATGTTTATTTTTTTATATATTTAGAAAAAAAAAACAAATATGTATAGAAAGTGCGTAAGAAAAAATTATTAATTCTGTACATTTTTTTAATTATAAACTAATATTCGTAATTATGTATGTAGGAAGTAATTACTCCTTACACAACGAAATTAAGTTTCCCGTAATATTTTTTTAAAAAACTTATTATTTCTTATAGTTTTAAAAGTGATATAAAATAATAATCATATTATATGTACGGTTCCTAGGTCATCGGGATGCTTTAAATAATATAGGATTTTATTTTTATTATATCAACCACTCGCGTACAACAATAGAATATAAGCGAATAAATGAAACGTTAATTTCTATGTAATAGTTGAAAAGAGTGCCCACGTCTGGCTTTACTCACGGGCCGTAGCTCCGACGATTTAGGAAATCTGAAATACCTCTTAATTTCAGATGGTGTCAGACCTGAGCCGCGTGGACTTTCGCGTGGTCCGAGAGCAAGCGGGCTGGGCCTGCGCCTGCGGCTCTACTCCCGCAGCTCACAAGCTGGAGGCTGACTTCAAGGTAATTTCTTTCAATACGTTATATGAATAGTTATAAGAAAAGTTAAATCACATTACAGTGTAACCACTTTTTAACGTCATTCGTTATAACGAAAAAGTCTCTCTAACGTAAAAAAGAAGTAATTAGTTTGGTTTAACACAAAACCCATATATTAATTCGCTCTTTATAACGCAACTGGCATCTCTATAATGAATAAATATTTTTATATTTAGATATCGACAACATACTTAATTATTTTTATAATCAGCTTACAAAACTAACCTATTGAGGTGCCGAAATTTCTAAGAAAGATACCTTCATAACAGCCGTCTCGCCTTTGTTATTGTTAAATTCATTTACACGTGCGCCTTTATTCTTAGATTACATTGCCTGTAGGAAATTTTGGTCTCGGTTACTAAACGCACCACCGTCACCTATCTATCATATATATATATAAATTATTGTTTTATTTTTATTTTATTTTAAATTTATTTTCAATGTATTGTAATTGGTTAATTTTGTTTTTTAATAAAAAAATTTCGGTCCCTTGAAATTTGTTAGAAAGCGTTTACACTGTACGTCAGTTCTCAAGGGCATAGAACGAAAGAAAATATTCATATATTGATTACCAAAACATTTGAAAAATGAACTCGACTGGCAGGCGACATTGGGCCGCGGCGCAACCCTAGAGCAATGGGCGTCGTGGCTCGAGGCGTGCGTCCGCGACGCCTTAGCGCCGCACGTCGGACGTCCGGACTACACGCCGCGCGCGAGGCGACTGCTGCTCGACTGGTCGTTTTACTCCTCGCTCGTTATACGCGAGTTGACTTTGAGGTATATGAGGGTAGTTTGACCCTGAGATATTTTTAAAAGTTTACTAAAATTCATATTTTTTATTAAAACACGATATTGTTACGAGCTAGGATGAAGATAGAAGCAGTTAGGGTTGCCATCCCTACTTTTTAATAAAATATTGTACTCTATACTTTTGAGAACAATAACATACACGAAAATACTTTTATTAGCATGATGTGATTTCTTTAGTCGTAAATAATTTTTTGTTAAACGGTATTTATCGATTGGCGCTAAATCGATGTTTAAATATAGATTGTGATTGACTGTGCAATTAATTAGTCGAGATACTAATTTAATTTAAACTGCAAAATTAATATATTTTAAATATAATAAATAAAAATAAAAATAAAAAATCTTGTTTAACCAATGTACTTTATTTGCAAGGTGGCAACCCTAGAAGCTTCAGGGGTTTATAAAAATTCAGAGGAATATAATTCCACTCAAAATATATTAATTATTCACAAAACATCACTAATTGCGAGTCTCCTGGCCGTTTGCCCTGTTATATAAAAAATATACCTTTATAGCGATGACGTAGTGTAAAATTATTAAAAACAGTACATTGATTCAAAACTTAATCATTTAGCAAATAGGAGGACGAAAGGGACATACATACAGCACCCAACACATAAGAATATAAAATATTATGTATATATATATGTATTTAAAATATATGATATGTTCGTCAACTTGTCAAGGAATATATTTTATTGACATTCTACCTAACGTGTATATTTTTTCCATGTCTGATGCATTCCAATCATAAGGTATTTGAATACGCAGTGTTGAAATGGTTTTGATAGACAATTTTTGATCAAATTTGTCATATTTGTGTTTACTTGGATTTCAGTTTCATTTCAGAAATGTCTAAACTAATCTAGATAATAACTATAATTTAAAAAATGGTTAAACATAACATTATTTCCTAGGAGAGATTTCTTTAAATAATTCTGTGAGTTATAAAATTCCTCAAACTCACAAAAGACATTAACTTTATATGTCATTTAAATCTGATATATAATTTTAAATGTGGGTAGTTCTCAGTACCCATCCAGTACCCACTCGCTGGCAATATTTGTATGTAAAATGGCAACAATTTTTTTTATGAAAGTCAGAGTTGATGGCCAAAATGTGGTATGAAAGTACAACATTTCAAAATTCTTATAAAACTTTGTGAACTATCAGAAATGTGGGTAGATATGGGTTACTAGTCTACCCAAAATTGGTATTTTTATGTATTTTAGTGAAAATGTTTTAGCTTTAATTTAACACATATGTAAACGAGCACAAGACAGATATCGCACGTAGTGTGTAGGTTCACAGACGACGGTGTTGTTCGCAGATCGGCAGCGTCCTTTGGCTCCTTCCATCTGATCCGTCTGCTCTACGACGAGTACGTGGCCTTTCTCATCGAGAAACGCGTGGCGGCCCATCGCGGGGAGCCACCTATCGCGGTTATGCAGCGGGCTTCGGTATGACAATAATAATTGACTGTTTTGGGTTTTTAAGAATTAGACCTCATTTCGAAATACATAGTTATATTCACTATAACAAGAGCCTTTGCTTCTACCGTGAGATTGTTTTCAGGACGACGACGACGAGTTGCCCGAAGAGGTGTCCCGCGAGGAGGAGCTGGATGGGGAGGGGGAGTGGGAGTGGGGGGAGGAAGAGGAGGACGAAGAGGACGAGGGGGAGCCCAAGAGGGCGCGTCTTGATGAATAGCTAGGGTCAGTATATTTCTTAGTCTTAGGGTGTGTCTTCTTATCTTCCCTTTAAAAGGCATTAAGTTTATTTAATTTAATATTTATTTTTCTTTTCAGATTTCCCGATTTTCTTTGCTTGCCTATTTTGTGAGCGATATGTGTATTTGTGCAATTTTAAGTTAAAACACAGAAAATATTTAAAATTATATAAATTTCAATGTTCTTAAAGCATTTCTATTAACGTTTCACAGAAGTGACTGCTTTGAGATACATATTTCTGCGTTTGAACCTTTTTAACGAAGGTCTCTTAACACTAAAGAAATCATTTATAGAAAGGCATTAAAATGGCCACCTTATTACGATAATCGTTGTGACATAAATGTAACACTTTGGTAGATTCTTTTAGCCAAAAGATTCGAAAAAATTGTAGGTTTGTGTCCGTCATACGATGGCTTCACATATATACATATATTTAATAATTATATGTTTGTGGGTAGTTATAAAATATAAGATTTCTAGTCGTCTACCTTTGCAGGTTTTGTATAAATTGTATGTGTACGGGTAAGTAACTGCAAAATTTGACAAAAATAAGTTACTATACGTAGAATTTGTGTGTTTAGATTTTCATTATTCGCTACTAGGAATACTATAACTATTAATGGGAATGGAAGGTTAATCTTGGTACCGCAAGTGTCAAGCGTGCCGATCTGAGTCACAAGTATAAAGTGAGGCATAAGTATTAAGTCAGTCACGAGTATAATTTGGACCACAAGTATAAAGTGAGTCACGAGTATAAAGTGGGACAGAAGTATAATGTGAGACACGAGTATAAAGTGAGTCACAAGTATGTGTACCATAAGTATAAAGTTAATCACGAGTATAAAGTGGGACAGGAGTGTCCAACATTATACTCCTGTCCCACTTTATACTCGTGATTAGTATAATGTGGACCATATAAAGTGAGTCACAAGTATAAAGTGGGACAGAAGTATAATGTGAGACACGAGTATAAAGTGAGTCACAAGTATAATGTGTACCACAAGTATAAAGTTAATCACGAGTATAAAGTGGGACAGGAGTATAATGTGAGACACGAGTATAAAGTGAGTCACAAGTATGTGTACCATAAGTATAAAGTTAATCACGAGTATAAAGTGGGACAGGAGTATAATGTTGGACACAAGTATAATGTGGACCATATAAAGTGAGTCACAAGTATAAAGTGGGACAGAAGTATAATGTGAGACACGAGTATAAAGTGAGTCACAAGTATAATGTGTACCACAAGTATAAAGTTAATCACGAGTATAAAGTGGGACAGGAGTATAATGTGACACGAGTATAAAGTGAGACAAATGTAGAAAGAGTGCTGCAAGTATTAATAGAGTTCTTGGTATATACGTGTCGCAACTATAAAGCGGGTCGTAAGTATAAGGAGAGCTACGAGATTTCAAAAACATTGTTGGAAAAATACAGTTGAAATTGAACGGAAATCCCTTCCAATCTCATTTATCTATTCCAATTAAAGTATTTGCGAGCAGTAGCGAATAATTGTAAGATATTATTTTGTCAAAAATTTAATTAAATATATTTGGGAACACCGTTCATGGCATTTATTTTATGAACCAAAGATTACACAATAGCACAAAGTATATGTAGTTTTGTGTATATTATGGTAAAGGTTACGCCCGGTTCCCTATATCGTACCAATCGTCATTGCTACGAACAGATTTACTTTCACAATTGAATGTACTATATTTTCTAGAGAAAGTGACTAACGCTCAGCTTTATATTATCTACCAGTTGTTAAATGGAGACATCGTTTGATAGCCGGTCATATCTACCCGTAGCAATTACGTCTGGTATTTTAAATATGGAAACCAGGAGTAAGAGTATTCGTCTAACTATACTTAGTTGACTCAATGACTTAAATGAGTGAATTGTTTGTTGTAATTAACAGTTAAAGGTAACTAGCAAAAACAGTTCAACATATTGGTTGTTAAGTTAACAGAATGATTTTCACCTAAATCGTTAACATTGAGGAGTTAAATTTCGTAGCTGGTCACAAGTTTTTTTCCTTTTCCAATAGGGAGATAGAATTTAGATGTGGATGTAGACGGATTTCGGAACGTGGAGAGATACGGTATATTGAAATATTGAAAAAGTAGCCTAAAGGGATCTTCATAACTTTATTTATTTATTCCATATCATTATTCTATCTTTACAGTTATTACTAATTCGATAGAACGACACAATATTTATTACCCACACCAATTAACCTAGATAAAAAACATTTAAAAAAAGGGTGCGTGTACTTATGTACGCGCGTAAGAAGTTATACTTCTTTGGCATTATTAAAAATAGTTTTTGATTGCATGCAAATAATTAATTACAATTAAATAATCAAAGACTGGAAAAGGAGTCAATAAAGTTCAGTTTTAGAAAAATTTCATAAATACATATTTATTATTATTCTCTTACATTAAGTGTAACATAAATTCTATTATAATTCGAATGTTGTTTTTAAATTATGTCCAATGCCGTAGCATCTTCCGTGGGCAACTTCATTCTGTTAATTTTGTGTCACGGTGCGCGCGCATCGTAAAATTTCACTCATCAATTTTTTCATAACGCGCCTGAAGAAGTATAACTTCAAAAATATATTTATATACCTAAATCTTATAAATAATGATATAGGAAGCAGCTCTTGTGAACTCAGCCAGTGTATATGAAGAAACATTTTAAGACAATTTTCTTAGAAATAATTAAAAACAACTACAATGACCTCATAAACTGAAACGCGCTAAAAACGTATTTGACCGCTATCTCCAACTCTCTTAGCCACTGAGGCCTTCGGATCAGTCACTGGTTACACTGTTTGATGACCCTTTAGGTTGAAGAAGGAGCACACCTTCCTTTCTCCAAATATTTTGAGTCGCTGATATTTGTTAAAAGCTTAAAGAATACGTGTATGTGAAAAACATTAGGTTTTTTGCTGAAGTCATTGAGTCATAGAAAATAGAATAAGAGAAATAGTTTAAAAATATATATAAATAATTTAAAATACGTATTATTTATTCGTATATTTATCGAGTCAATGTTTAGGATGCTCACTATGTTGAGACATGTACTTAGTCATAGATTAAGACTATTTTATAAATTATATGTCTTAGGCACAATTTCAGCGCATTCAATATGTAATAATTTCATAAAATTTGTATTAATTCTATTCGAAATAGTGTTGGCATGTATACATTAGCCGTATTAATCGCCCTTTGTTTCTGTAAAATAAAATTCATGACGAAATGGTATATTTTTGTACACAATAGCCTTTGTTGTTGCCTTACACGTTACCTCTGATGCGTTGAATTGACGGTTGTGTTTGAAGCAAATGAAGTTGTGAATTTGCCTCTTAAGAAATTTGTATACGTAGTGTAGTCGTCTGTCCAATACACGTTTGCTAATGGTAGGGGAGCCCAAGAGGGGATTTCGGGATTTACTAAAGCGCGGCAGATTACTATATAGGGGGATACCTTGTACCCGGTTAAGTACCTCCACAAAATATGAGGCCCATATATAAGGCCGCGCGTGAAGGAGACAGGATCAGATTAGTAAAAAAAAATTGACCATCAGAAATTCCCGAGCGCGTCAGATTAAGGTAGGGTGAGTTAATTACATCCTAAAAAGTGTATATTCCACTAATCTGACAATTTGAGAGTGACGGAAAAAAGGGGAGGGCAACAAAGTTGTAAAAAAAAACGTCATCTCGACATTCTCGAGCGTAGCTAATTTTTCTTTTATTTTGAAGGAAATAATTCCAGAATAATGAAAAATATATAATCTGACGATTTCCGCAAGCCGAAATAACAAAAATTCGTCGATAAAGTTAAATGCGTGCAGCTGCGTGATGCCTACATTTCCTTAAACCGATCGGAATCTACTAAACGGCGTTCAAAATATTTCCCTCAAAATTACATTTCCTGTGAATTTGAACCGATTCGGACCGATAGATTTTGAGAAATTTTGAAAAATCTTAAAAAAATAAGAAATATTTTTTTTTAAAGTGGTTTCTTTATCGATCAACTTCAAAAACTAATCCGCCTTTGAGCTTGAAAAACCACGTCGATCGCCACCAAGCTGGTCAAAAGCGGTTGATTCGTTCGAGAGATATCGTACATGAAAGAAACCCGAAAAAGTGTTTTTTCGGGATTACTCGAAATTTGTGGTTCGATCAATTAAAATTGCAAAATTACTTATGAGAATGATAAAACTGCGTCGAATGCCGCCAACCGCGTGAAAATTGCTTGATCCATTCAAAAGTTATTGCGGTTTGAAAATTCCAAAAATAGTGTTCTATGAAACTTCTATCAGACTTTCGAGCTGGGAGAGCTCAAATGCATAGAAATGTTATTTCTTTGAACTCAGCGAGCTCAAAATATCAATTTTAAGCGCCCAGGAATGGAATTAGCGGGAAGTTGCAGGGATGGCCCTTTAGGTGAACCGTTTTTCTATTATTTTTTTGTCAGATCAGGCGAATCCCTCTAGATAATCGTCAGATTATGAGACAGTACGTTTAGAACATAAAGATGAACCACATATATCTTAATCTGACGCGCTTGAGTATTTCAAAATTGCGATTTTTTTTGCAAATTAAGAAAATGGCTGTGGGTTTGCGTCCCATCGAAATCGTCAGATTAGTGAATGAGAGCTTTTTTTGGTGCACTTAACACTCCCTTAGAAAATCTGACGCGCTCGATAAATTTTTTTTTTTTTTAATTTTCAACCCTTAAATACAACCACCCGCATCATGCAAACGATCAGATTAACATACGTACATTATTAAAAATACGTAGGGCATAGATGCTATCAATATCTGACGCGCTCGAGGATGTCCATGCAACAGTTTTTTTTACATATTTAACTATCTATAGCCGCTTCCCCCACCGATGAAAAGGAATTTATCATATAACATTTTTTTTCTTCTTTTTATCTAAGCTTTGTATCCCAATAGGTCTCTACGACGCTCGAGTAAATCCCCATTTAGCATCGTGGGCTCCCCTACCATAAGCTAAAGTAAGCCTTATTTCTGTGCATTTATGATGACAATATTTAGATACCACCCGGATCACCGGTGCCTATAGTCGGTAAAGCGTAATTTTGATTTTTCGATTTCAATGAGATTTATTTTTGCATTGTCTCGCACTAAATGTAGTAAATGTTGTGTAAGTGGTAAATTTAAAGTTCACGATGGGCGTAAAGTGTGTTAAGGATCCGAATTTCATAGAACTTCGAATTTAGACGTCGAAAACACACTTTACGTGTATTGTTAAGTGTTAGTGTAACATGTGGGTGCAACTTGATATTTGCTGGTGTGCCTGATGATGTTTGATGCCTTCATCTTGCTCTATTCTCCGTTTGTATCAGGACACTGGGTTGAGACATTGGTCTTTTGAGTTGTCTGGATTAACTCAGACCAACGGGTAGGCGATCTACCCCAACTTCTGTCATCACTCCTTCCAACAGTACGAGTTTGTCGAGACTATTCGGTTCTCTTCTGGAAATATGGCAAACCTTCACAAATTCAAGATCCGCCACTTATACAGGACGTGTGAGGATTCCAGCCCAATAAGAAAATGAATCGGCTAGATATGACTGTCTTGAGCCTATTAATAGATAGATCGATCATTTCGCTTGCTTGCTCGACTCTAGTAAACAGTTTAGCCATTCCGGAGGAGGCACATAGAGTCGTGTCTTCTGAGTACCGGATTCGTGCTGATATTGTTGCTACCAGTAAAAATGTCTTCATCCCATTCTTTGTGCGCTACCTCGAGTATTCGCTATAAAAATTAAAACCGAGGGGAGATAGAATGCATCCCTGTCGAACCCCTCTTTGCTGTTTATAAGTCGCGGACTCTACATTGTTTAGTCTGACCATTTCATTTAGATTCTCCCTTCTCGTCGCTGGCAATCAGCGCCACTAAGTGTTCTGAAACACTCATCTTCCTCCATGCTATCCCGCCGTACGCAGAAATCCTTAGGATAATCTAAATAATCCTATTTCTATGAGTTGTCTGACGTTTCCAATCTAATACTAATAATAGTTGTTTTTTTTGTATACTATAAAACCGAGATAGGGTATAATATTTTTAAGAAAAAAATTGTTGTGTTACAAGGTGCCGCAATGAAGCGTCAATTTTATTCCCTTATTATTTCAAATTATGCAAATTTCAAGTTGGAAACACAAGAAGTAAGAGCTTATTTTATATTGAGATGTCTAAGTATTATAAGCAACGAATTGAGCTGCGTTTCTTCGTCACAAAATATCTAGTTGATCCTTATTTTTTCTGAATTTAAGGGTCATTATTTTACTTGTGTTTGGTCTTTAAAGGCAAAGAAACGCAGTTAAAAGGGTATAACCAATAGTTGCTTAGTATAATCTATGGAAGTCGATGTCTACAGACCGTATGTATGTCGGAAATAAAGCTAGTCATGTGTTTAAAGATGTCTTTTATTTATACATTCTTTAATTTCGCCTCCGAAGTTCATTTTAACACTAAAGACAATTGAAAATAATAATTTTGCTCTATAGTAAAGTAATATTTCGATTCCTATGTGGTGTTGGGTTATACTAGTGATGCAACGAATATCAAACCTATTTGGCTAACATGAATGATTCAACAAAGCAATAAATAATACACTAATACTATATTACTAAGATATTTAATAATAATTAATATTAACTACTGATAACTCAAAAAGCATAAAATATGTAACTTCTCAGCCATTACGCGATTTCTTTTTTCTGTTTGTACATTTCCACCGGTCGAAAATAGTCTTTCTGAAGCCAAAGTAGAAAGATCACATACCACATAAATTTACTTATATATATTATCTAGTGGGTTTTAAGTAAAAGTTAAATAGTTTCCTAGACCAGAGTAAAATTAAGAAGGAAAAATGGGCAATTCCAAACGTAACTCCTTAGGAAGTTATATCAAATCAAATGTTATTTAATTATGTTGGTACTATTTCTAAGGCAGTCTACCGCGTCGTGGGGGGTTTACTGTATATATTCATGTATAGGGTTGTAGAGCAATAGCACTTAGAGGAATTAAATAATAAAACAGTTCTCGTGGGCAACGCTTTAATTAGAACAAGCAATATACAGCAAAAAAATATTTACAGAAATATTATTCAATAATAAATATTGCACTGCAAATACCTCGAGTACAGCACACGAATATAAACTAAATAAAACCAAAAATCTAGCGACACTAGATCATTTAAACGATAGAACAATAAAATAGCAAAACTAAACGGCAGTTATTCAAGTGCTCAAAGACCAAAGTCAACAAGAGTCGATAAACATTAAATTAAGTCAATATTTTCTAAGCAACAAAATTAGAGTAATAACAGACACCCCGTATTATCGGCTAAGCAAGCATTGAATATCCCCTTACTCTTAGAACCTTATAAGGGGTAGAACTTGTTACAATTAGCAAAATAATTTTTTTGTGAGTTAGCGTGTGAGCCCGTAAAAGATATTTTAGATAATATGTACTCATTACTTAGATTTGATGATAAAATTACGTTTCACATGGTATAGTTTACTATGTATTTTTATTTTGTTGTAACACTTACACTTTAAAACGTAGTAAATCAATATATTTGTATGAAAAACACAGCAGCGCAAACCCATGGAAACTCACATTGCCAATAGGCTCGCAAGTGCGTTGCCGGCCTTTGGATTTGGTACGATCTTTTGTTGAAGGACATATTGATATTGTTATATCAAGCGCATGCGCATCCCTTCAGTTTCCATAGTAGTTAAGATCAATGTAAATTAAAATGTATGAAACCACCAACTCTCCTAAAGCCAATATAGAGAATGGCGTTCTTCCAGTAAACTATACCATTGTATGAAAAATCAAACAGCTGTCAAAAACTGACATTTGCATAGTGACGTATACTTGACAAAACGTAGTTAATTTTTGTATGAAACAAGTCATAAGTACATTGCCTTAGGCCAATGTGATATTCCTAGGATATGAAGGCGGGTCAAATCAAATTTCTTTGGTACCTACGTAACTAAAGCCAAAGGGAATTTTGATATTTACACTAAACCTATTCTAACTAGAAAGGTTAAAAAATTAACCGTAAATTTTTTATTTTAGGTAAAATTTATTTTTTTACGAAAGAGGGTAGATTTAAAATTTAAACGGATTTAAATCAATTAATCAAACCATATAAAAAGTATAATTTCTCACTGCTATAAATTTAGACAACAAAATTATAAAGTCGTTAACTGAACTGACCAACAGTTATTTGACAGAATCAAAATATACGTCATGTTAATTCTGACTTTGAAATTCTTAAAAGAATTTTCTGAAAACACTAATTTAGAAAAATTATAGCAGAGAGTATTTGAAAATAACTAATATAAAAATATTAAAATTTTCTAACATTAAACTTTGAGACTACAAATCAAGAATTGCCAACGTCATCATGACAAATATCTTGGCATTTAGGATTTTTAATCTCCATTTTCCAAGAAAAACATTAATATCTGTGCATTGTCTAACACAATAACACAAAGATAAACGCAATTAAAATTAACGAGAATTCAAATAATTAAAAAACATGTGTGTAATTCCCTAGTAAGTCAAGTCAATATAAACACAGTGATATGAAGGAAATATTAAAAAAAATATTTGCTGAAACTAGTACCACAATCTTGACCATAGACTACAAACAAGTTATGGTGATATGCCACTTTGTAATAATGATTGTGATAGTTTGGTTATTCAGTCTGTGATCATACAAATTTTTAATTTTATTATTCATTAAATTTTAATACACAGAACATATTTCAAAGTAGATAATTCCACTTTCGAAATTTACTTAGAATTGCACTATGGCATTTATTTCGAAATATAAAATTCCATTTTTGAAATTAGAACAAAACATTTGTTTGTATCCATTTTTTATTAATTTATCTATGACACGTTTGTCACCAGCATCTGTTATTCACTTGACTTACAGAGGAACGACCTTTTAACACTAGCGCTGTGTATTAACCGGATAGTTTCTGATTATTTTGATGAGTTCTTAAATTGCGAGAGCGGCGGATCGTTTGTCTCTGTTCTTATTCCGAGCGACCGTTCGGGCCTTGCACGCAGCTGTATTTTGCAAGTGCTGGAAATAATGAAATCCAAGGTAAAGTATACAGTACTAATACAAATTTCATATTTATGATTGATAATATAAGAAATAAATTGATTATCCCTTATTCATAGAAAAGATTTTATGCACAGTTAGAACTAAGGCTGTCTCTTTTTATTACAGCACCAACACAAATTGACAGAGACAAAAAAATACTTTTTTTTTACTAACGAGTATTTATGTATGAAGGATAAGCATAATTAGCATCTTTACTTTTTAGATATTAGACAACAAAAATAATTGTTCTATATTAATGAGATTGGCAGCCTTCCATAAGTTTTTCTTTTAGGGGGGCCGATACAGTTTTTTATTTATTTATGAAAGTACCACATCATACATAGTACTAAATCTTCGGTATATGCTACAAACTCTTTTATCTAAAATGTATGACAATTTAGGTAAACGTCATACATTTTAGATAAAATGTTATGTTACAAAATTTAAAAAAAAATACAATGAAATATCCAAGATAAAATGAGGCTACAATAAGAATACCAGAGTATTTTTGCTAAGCAGAAAAAAAATCCAGCGAAACAGGATTAGGTTCGAGACAGGCACTTAACAATGCTTTCTTTAAAATTGATCGGCCCACTACCAAATATATCCAGCTCCGGATAAGTACCTACTGTTTAATTCGTGAAGAATTCGAAAGAGAGATGCCTGAACTCGTAGGTTAGTCTTTGTTTTTATTTATATGATAGATAATATTATTGGACAAGATTAATAAAAATGGTGCCTCAGATTTTAAATAATTAAATATTTTTTTAAAATAACTAAAAAAAAGTTTAAAACAATAAGTAAAAATCTCAAATCAACTTACTCGTTGCAACTTATTCTTCCTCGAGTTGTTATGCGCCGGCGCAGGCACCATCGGCGCCTGTGGGTCCAGACCTAGGGCTGCTCTGAGCCTGCCACAATGAGGCGACAGGGACTGCAGTCCCGCGCCTAAGGCTGCCGCTAAGGCGGAATAAGTCGCGCGACTCGACCAAGTGTCGCACGACACACTTTCCACGCCGATGCGCACGCGCAACTCTGGCACGTCACCTTCCTGGAATCAACATCACGCCAATGAAGACAAATTGCACTTTTAGAAACACCATTTTATAGATATTGACAATTTATGTTATTTTTCTACATCATCATCAGGTTCAAGTATTTCGTCACACAATTTTTTGGACATTATTGCCCCCACCCCTATTTAACGCGCTGTAATGTTTTTCTGTACCCAAGTATAGTAAAACGTTTCATGACCACCTAGTGACTCTTTATATCTAAAAGTTACCATTATGTGGTGTAAAGTACTGGAAAGTCGAAAATAATATTAACAATAACGTGTAATGCAATCCCCGCCCCGCATCGTAACGTTTTACAAACAGACCCCCCAAAATTCGTTACATAATACTTGAACGCCCCCTTATCAGCTTACACAACTTACCTCAAAGTACTTAAGGATGTCCCTGAAGGTGGCCCTCTGAACCTTCCTGTCCCGTTTGGCCCTGAACTTGTGCGAGTCCCGGGCCAGGTCTTCCAGCCGAGGCAGCACCATCTCCACCCACTCCTCGTCCCCTTCCTCATCGTCGTCAGTCACACGCTCGTACGCGATGGCCACCGCTCCACCGGCAGCCATACGCACCTGAATATTTAAACTAGGTTATTCAAGAATAATTGAAATAGACATAGAATTTATTACTAACAAAAATAATAAAAAAAAAATAACAATTTTTTCTCCTTTTCCCTTAAGGGACCGTTCAAGTATTACGTAACGATTTTGGGGGAGGGGGGTCCTTTTGCAAAACGTTACGATACGGGGCGGGGATTGAATTACACGTTATTGTTAATATTATTTTCGACTTTCCAGTACTTTACACCATGTAATGGTAAGTTTTAGGTATAAAGGTGGTCACGAAACGTTTTACTATACTTGGACACAGAAAAACGTTACGGCGCGTTACATGGGGGGTCAATAATTCCAAAAGTTGCGTGACGAAATACTTGAACGCATAACGAACAAGGTTCGATTTAAGTGTGTAATGCGTGTGTGCTGTGGCTGAAGAGCGGACTGTAAATACACAAACAAGCAATACCTCAAGACTGCAAGCTTCCAGTAAATCAGCCAGCCGGGCAAAGGAAGGGGGATTATCCTTGAGCAGGGCTCTGGCGTGGTCTGCTTCAGTGAGAGCCAGCAGCAAGGCCCAGCCGTCAATAGCTGCCGCGTGCCACGCCCCCTCTTCCACTACAGAACCCGATACTTTCACGCTGCCGTCACCCTGAGAAAAAAGTATTCTTTGACCAGGACTCGATTTATGCCATAAGTCCTTCATCACATAATGGGCTAACGCCATTTAGATGGCGTTGCTAGTATTAAATTAACATCATATTTAGCTTAAACCATCAAAAGATACGTGTATAAATTGGTCGACTGTGGTACTATTAGTTTGTATGATACACTATTTTACAAAAACGCTGCACATCATCGTGACGTTTTTTAAAATTTTTACCCTCATGCGCCTAAAGAAGTTTCACTTCAAAAAAAAAATACAAATAAGAACGGCATCAAAATGACGTTATGTCATAAAATGATAAATTTTCCGATACGACATCGACATAAACTAAATATCTACGACTAAGAAATCGTGACGTCTCACGTACGTGTCAGTAAACTTGTGACCTTGACCTTGAGACGTTCACACGGAAATGTTTGGAAAAATCTACGTAATATTTTGTATGCGTTTTCAATTATCAAAACTATAAATGGACTTTTGATTTCAATTCAATAAGATTGTTAAATATTTTTTTAAACTATTATTTGTGCTTCACACTAATATTATAAAGGGGACTAAGTTTAAAATGCGTCGACTTTAGGAAAATGCTTTTACTAAATTGTATATTTATAAATCAATATTTATTTCATTAGTATTCCGATAGCTGTAATAGTAACTATTACACAACTGTAATTCACATTTAAACACATAACACAAGATAATTAATAAAAAAAGACAAAATTTACTATTAATAACAGCTGTTTTGATACCTTGAGATAACTCCCGCTAAAGATGGTCTCAAAGAGCCGCATGACTTCCAGTACTTCGGCGAGGTCATCTTCCATCAGGTAACAGAGGATGGCCAAAGATGAGCAACACTGGAATATAATATGGAACTGTCTATAAGGCAGAAATGGTCTACCCAGTCAGATATTAGCATAACGCTAACCAACATAAACAGTAAATTAAAAAACTACTTTTATATGCATTTGTCGCGCTCCTAAACAAGACTGCTATCTATGGTTACATTAATACTATTAATTCTAATATTGTGATTATATTATATTATTTTATAAAATAAAGAAAAAAAAATTGTCACAATTTTATAATTATTTATTTCTCATTCAATATGTTCTTTTTCTTTTTTTTACCGTAATCTAAAACAATTATAACACGAAAACAGTGACATTATCTTTTAATTGATTTAACCTCAAAAATATTTCCGTATAACCTGCATAGATTATTTTAAATGGCAATATTAGATTTCAGTTCCTTATCCCACATTGGCTAATCTCACACACAAATAATACTCACTTGTGCTTGAGTGAAGAAAATCAAGAAGGCTTATCACCTGCTTGCCAATAAAAACAAATAAAGTAGAAACAAATACAGAAACTTTTGTTTATATACGGGCAAATGGGCCGGAGGCCCATCTATAAGTGGTACCATGGACACCTGAGGCCAAGATCAAGGTTTCTTTAGATATGAATAAAAGGCACAACTTCAGGTTTGAGTCACTCTTGAACTACAAGGCTAACAGTAGAATATATATTATTGTAAATTGTTCCATGCACATTACACATGAATTATATTTTTATATGTACCTCAGTGCGTGTGTCAAGGGAGGCAGTCTTGTCAACAGCGGCTGCTGCCAAAGCCGGCCTCACCTCTTGCATAAACACTTCCACACCCTCTTCACCGACCTGGAATTTTTGGGATAAAAAAATGATATAATAACTATAGATGGTTGTGTGATCTATTTTCAGTATTATTTAAGGAATTGTGAAAAATTATTATGCAATGTGTATAATATGTACCTTTTTACCTTTGACATGTTTTAATTGACATTCCATGAAGTATTTTTTTTTATGAGAGTACATTTAAATAAACTTCTGAACAGATATTAACGCGCATTTAAGGTACATTTACATAACCCGATATATCTGCTAAAAAGCACTTAAAACAGAATTATATAAAAATCTGGAAAACATCCCAGTAAAATTTTGTTTAATTAACATATTTCACCATATACATATTCCATTGATTTCCAAAGACGAAATATACTGTTATCATAAGTCCTAAACAGTTCCTATTACCATTTTAGAATATATTATGTAATTTATTTCCAACCCATAATAAATAAATAAATAAATTTAACTAAAAATTAAATTGGGGGGGTCGGTGTTGGTCTTAGTGGGGCATAATCTATGTCAGGGAATATGCTCCTATAAAAAGCTAAGCATACCGAAGCGCACGCCTAGGCAATGGAGCTAGGCTATCAGGCGCGCACCGAAAGTTCTTCATACACGTCCACGCCATCTCTGTACTATCGCAGTGGTACATAGATGGGCCCACACTAGTTCTACCTTGTGGGCCGTCTCCTCCGGGCAATGCTGTGATCTGCTACGAGCTCCATTCGCAAATACCTCGAGATCGCAGTAGCAAAGTATGAAGAACGAAGGCGAGTCTTCGGCGCCTTAACCGAACCAACTGACTAAGGGAAGACAACCCTGACAGAAAATCACAAAAAAAAAATGGAAGCAAAACCTAAAAACAGTATACCCCAGGAGGGTACCGGTGTAGCCGGAGAATCCCTCTCTGAGCCTTGCTCAGGCTGTCCCACGTATTCTGGGGGGGACAAAGTTTTGCTAAACAAAGATACACTCGCAGAAGAAACCTGTAAGAGGGTGGGAACCCAGGCCCCCTTACCAGTTAATGCTACTGGTCCTAATGTGAAGGATAAAAAGCTAGTTCAGCAAGCCTTTCATCCTAGCCTATTTCTGGCTCGACCAAGAAGCTCATCTCTAAGTTCAGTAGCAGATGTTAACATCCAAAGCCCGACAGCTCTATTGAATAGAGTGCAGACAAATTCTAAAGACATTTACATAGACAAACAGAATCCTCCTAACTGGCAGAGAGCACCGACACTAAGGAACGCCAAAAGGAAAAAAGTTTCCTCACCATCTCCAGATAGGATACCAGTTTCCAATCAATTCAGCGCCCTTCCAGTAGATCAGGAAGCAAATAATGATGTAGAACAAACTAAAAAGATATCTAAACCTCCGCCTATAATCCTATATGGTATTGAAGACCTAGCCAAACTTACCGAACTCCTGGAGTGTGCCGTAAACAAAACCGACTTCGTCTACAAAATAATAAACCAAAACCAGCTGCGCATAAATTGCGCCAACGTGGAGGTTTACAAAAACATAATAGACCTTATCCGTGAAAAAAGACTGATCGGACATACATTTAACAGGAAAGACAAAAAACCGTATAGAGTGGTTATCAAAAACCTACATTATTCAACTCCTATCCTTAAAATAAAAGAAGCACTGGAAGACACGGGAAACGTAGTGATAGGAGAAATAATAAATGCAAAGTATGGACCTGAAAAGAAACCTACATCTACATTTTTTGCAACCCTAGAACAAAGTCCGAGCAACAAAGAGATAAAAGGTATAAAGTACATAAACCACCAATCGGTCGTTATAGAGGAACCACGTAAAAGGAACTCCATAGTCCAATGCCAAAGATGTCAGCAATATGGTCACTCTAAAAATTACTGTATGAGGCCCTATCGCTGCGTGAAATGCGCGCAAGCACATAGAACAGCAGACTGTCCAAAGCCTGATCGAAGTACTCCAGCAAAATGCGCCTTGTGCCTCGGTGCCCATCCAGCGAACTTTAAAGGCTGTGAAGTATATGTAGAAATCCTATCGAGAAAATCTAAAAGGCAGTATACCCGCGCATCAAGGATAAATAATAATAATCCGGAACGACAACGCAGCTCTAAACAGATGGCACCTGAGATGAACACACTACCACAGTTACAAAATAATAAACCTATTGGTGACAAAAACTCCCAGTCACTATCACAACCACAACACTTATCTAGGAACAAAGAAATACCTAACCACGGAAATTATCGATCAAGCTACGCCGATGTGATAGGATCTAACCAGAATACTTATAATACACCAAAACCTACAATTGAAGAAATGTTAGTCAAACAAGCTGAAAAGTTTGATCATATCTTACAACAAATGAGCACTTTAATCAATTTAATTACAACATTAGTCACGAAAATGTCCAAATGACTTCCCTAAAGATAGCTACCTGGAACCCAGATGGGCTATTGCCTAATCTAGAAGAAGTAGAAGTACCACTACACACACACAACATAGACATATTATTAGTGTCTGAATCTCACCTTACAGAAAATAACAGAGTCACATTACGTAATTTTAATATTTATGCTACAAACCATCCCGACGGAACTGCACATGCAGGAGCAGCTATAATTATAAGATCAAACATCAAACATTATGAACAACCACAGTTTCAGAAACCCTACATACAAGCTACAACGGTTGCAGTTATAGATAGAAACGGTACGTTTAATGTATCCGCCATCTATTGCCCCCAAGCACACTATAAAAGAAGAACATTTTGAAGAGCTTTTTTATATCACTGGGGCAGCGATTCATAGCAGGAGGTGATTGGAATGCCAAGCATGTTCATTGGGCCTCTAGGCTAACGACAACAAGAGGCAGAGAGCTTAAGAAAAGTATAGATAACAACAATCTGACAGTGATTTCAACGACGGACCCGACCAACTGGCCGACTGACTCAAACAGGCTTCCGGACGTCATAGACTTTTTCGTCATGAAAGGCCTGTCTAGACTTTCTTACCAAATACAAACTTGTTTAGACTCGAGTACAAACCATGTTCCAGTTATATTGACTATTGGAATAACTGCCTTGAGCAAAGAACACAGCCTTAAATTGTACAATAAACGAACTGATTGGAACTCATATCGAGAACTGGTCCATGACAGACTAGACCTAAAAATTGCCTTAAAAAGTGAAGCAGACATTGATCACGCAACTCGCTTACTAACCGAAGTGATCCAAGAAAGCTGCTGGATGTCCACGCCCGAAATCACTGCTCGTCTGCCACAGAGTAAGACCTACTCGGACACCATACGACAAAAAATATTAGAAAAACGAAGGCTACGTCGAATATGGCACACTAGTAGACTGACATATGACAAAACGGCGCTTAATAAAGCGATACGTGACTTAAAATCCCTAATATCCGAAGCTAACGAAGCAGCCTTGAGTAAACACCTGGAAGGATTGACATCAACAAAAGCAACCGATTACTCGCTCTGGAGAGCCTGCAAAAACCTAGCTCGACCACTACACCAAAAGCCACCACTACGAACGCAGAACGGGCAGTGGATTAGAACGGAACGAGAAAAAGCTGAAGTTTTTGCCAATCATCTCAGTCATGTATTCAAACCGAATGACCCCAGGCCTAATGTAGATGAATCGGATATCGAACTAATCATTGACCAATACCTGCAACTTGATCTACCATTAAAACTAGTGAGACCACGGGAAATTAATCGCAATATCAAATCTATGGACAATAATAAAGCGCCGGGCTATGACTTAATAGACAAAAAGGTCCTCGAAGAATCACCACGCAAAGTGATAGTGTACCTTACAATGCTGTTTAATGCAATCCTAAGAGCTGGGTACTACCCAGACTTATGGAAGGTATCACAAGTCACTATGATCCACAAACCTGGAAAACCGATTCACGAAATAACCTCATATAGACCCATTAGTCTGCTGCCTATAATGTCCAAATTATTTGAAAAATCGCTACTACACAGAATGCTGGACATAATAAAAGAAAAGCATATCATACCAGACCATCAGTTTGGCTTTAGGCAAGAACATGCAACAACAGAACAAGTCCACAGAGTATGTAGAAAAATAAGAAACTCCCTCGAGAGGAGAGAATACTGCTCATCTGCATTTCTAGACGTACAACAAGCCTTTGACAAAGTGTGGCATAAGGGTCTTTTGTTTAAAATAAAATCCTTATTGCCACACACATTCTATAGGATTCTACAATCGTACCTGTCTAACAGACTATTCCAAGTTAAAGAAGGTGCCAGCACATCCGGTTTTTACGAAATTTGCGCAGGTGTGCCACAGGGCTCAGTCCTCGGACCCGTCCTGTACACACTGTATACATACGACCTACCACAGAGCCCAGAGATTACTATCGCCACCTTCGCTGATGACACGGCTCTACTTACCTCCAACAGAAGTCCCATTCTAGCCTCTAAAATTCTACAAAATGGCTTAAATAAGGTAGAAGACTGGTTGGCCAAATGGAGAATTGCAGTTAGTGTGTCCAAATCGGTGCACGTCACTTTCACGCTCCGAAAGGAAGACTGCCCCCCCTGTCACTCTAAATGGCACCCAATTACCACATCAAAACACAGTCAAATATTTAGGAATGCATTTAGACCGCAGACTCACCTGGAAAAAACATATTCAAACAAAGCGAGACGAAATTAACCACAAATACAAGGGTCTCTACTGGCTAATGGGACGAAATTCAAAACTATCCACTGACAATAAGTTGCTCTTGTACAAAACCATTCTCAAACCCATATGGACATACGGAATACAGCTTTGGGGATCTGCTAGTGCCTCAAATATAATAATAATACAAAGAGCTCAAAATTACATACTCAAGCAAATATCAAACACCCCATGGTTTCTCAAAACTACAGAAGTCCATGAATTTCTTAATATGCCCATGGTAAAAGAGGAAATAATCACACATGGGTATAACTACAAACTAAGACTTCAAAAGCACCCCAATCAGCTAGCAGGACAGCTAACTATACCAGAAACTACTCGACGACTAAAAAAGCGGCGAGACATTTTTGATCAGGACAACCCAACAGACTGAGTTTAAATAAGAATAGGCAGGCTCCGCTGGGAGTAGCGCCTAACACGTCAAAAAGCTCTCAACGTATCTACTTATAGTCGCAAAGACTGATTGTATGATTATTTAGAAAAAAAAAAAAAAAATTAAATTTATTAATGTATGTAAATTAAAAATTTAAAAAGTTTGGTCCCTGTGGCAGTGTACCTTTACTTAAATTAAATCTTTAATTGAACCCCATGGCCCAACAGTTTCTACTCCCAAATCTTATGAAATATCATGTGTGTAAATGTTAGTGAAAATATCATGTGAAAAAAGTATTTAACTACTAACAAATTTTTCATTAATTTTTTTTTTTACTAAACCGAACACAAAAGCAATATTTATTTTTTGGTCACACAAACCAACTTATAAACACTAATGCTGATCAATAACTTATATACTAACCGCCGCTATAGGCCGTTGGGGAATCTAAAAAATAATAATATATATTTACACTACATTACCTGTAACGCCAATATTGGAGCAACAGCAGCCGCTGCTTTCTTCTCTCCATCCTTTCCTCGTCTGAGAGCCTTGGTGACGTGGTCAGCCAAAGTCGCCCTTTGTCCGCTCAAAAGCACCGCCAAGTATCGTCTTTGTAAAGCAGTCCGTAATGAAACCAACGCAGACGCACGTGCTGCATTCGCTCTAGCGCTTAGTGCATCAATTATTTCCAAGACTTTCTCTTCAAATTTCTCTTGTGCTTCACTCTCTGAAAGTGTTGTCAGTATTTAATGAAATAATAGGTTTTATTATAATTTTATTTCAATAAAACTAACATATCTGGGTACAATTTAGAAGACATATTTTCAAGTATAGAACAGGAAAATAATTTTTTCCAAGATATGAAAATTCTTAAATTTTTAATATTATCCAGTTGATTGTAAATCGATTTCTGACATTGGTATGGGGTTTGTAGTGTATGTAGTCAAATCGATATCAATCTTGTTGTTTATGACATTTTCCTTTGAATAATTGTAATGTAAAGGGAGGGCAAAACTTGCTGAGTTTCTTGCCCGTTCTTCTCAGAACAAGGCCTCCTGGTAGTTTTGCGAAGGGATGGCCTAGTCTTGCTCTTTCGCGAATTTTGTAAACGTTTTTTACATTCATGCCCTAAGACGCATCTAAATTGAATAAACGTATTTTGATTTTGAATCCCAGGTCAACAAGCACAATACCTTATTAAACTATTGATGGTGTCAACAAAAAATAGTGTCTACAAATTTTTTAATCTGTATTTACCATAAACATGTTTCAGCTGATTTAATTGCATATATAATTTTTCACCACTCATAACATTTGTATGCAGTATTAAGCTTCATATATTTGGCTGTTATCACATTGACCTTCAACTTAAATTATGATAAGATAAAAGATTAAGCTTGTCCAACTAGATTAATTTATGAAGCATACATTGTGTCATTGTTTGCCATTGATGTTTATATCAATCTTTTTATAAACATATCGCCTTGCATAAAAGTAAAGGTCTTTACAACATTCACAGTATGTATGTACAAGAGTACAATGTAATATTATTGAAAGTTATATATTAAAACATGTCTTCTAGTCAATTTACAGTGATACCTCAATATATGAGTGCCTTAATATACAAGTGTTTTGAGATACAAGCAGTTGCGCAATATTTTGCTTTTATATGAGAGCAAGATTTGTGATAATGGAATCTTAAGCAAGGATCCTGACACTAACAGTTTCTCCCACCTCAATAGACCTCAGTCTGTTTGCTTGTTTGCCTCATTTTCGAAGCATTTTTTATAAGTTGCATTATGGAACAAATTTTGTATGTTGAGGTACCACTGTAATAGATTGTAAATTGTACTAAAAGTAGAAAGGAGTCTTTAAATAAGGTTTAAACGAACACTACAAAAGTAATGGTAAACTGTACTGTATGTATCGAGACAAGCACAAGAAAAAGATTGTTGCAGGTGGAGTTTTGTTATCTAAGAGGTGCACGCAGCAACAGTACACAATTACATTGTGGAGTGCGACTTAATATTACTCATGATATTACCGATCCAAGAACCGAGTAAAAATACAAGTCTAAGACCAGAATATAGAATTAAAGATAGTAGTAAGTTGCAAAATCTTTGTTGTGCAATATACAAAAACCAACTTACATTTAAATACAATTTGTAAGTAATGTAATTGGTCATTTAACTTTTTTTAACTAAGATATAACGGCTCTACCATTGAAAACAGTTTAACATTAATATTATAATACTTTCTAATGAGCCAAAGCAACGAAGTCAAATAAACACCAATATTTATATCGGCACGTACAATGCAAGATCACTTCTTTCAAATGAGAGACTTATTGAGTTTAAAGAAGCTATATCAAAAATAAAGTACGATATCATCGGGCTCTCTGAGATCCGAAGAATAGGATATAAGATATTGGAAGACCAAGAACATATTTTTTGTCACTACGGCCAAACTAAAGGGTTATATGGCGTCGGTTTTCTGATAAGGAAAAATCTAAAACCATATTTTGATAGTTTTATAGCAATTTCAGAACGGGTATGCATCCTAAATTTAGTTTTTGTAGACGCACATATTTCAATAATTCAAGCATATTCTCCTACTAGCGATGCCAATGAAACAGAGATGTCGTTGTTTTACGACCAACTCCAACACGCTATTGATCAAAGCAATAAAATCGTTATTCTTATGGGAGACTTCAATGCTTGTATCGGTCAACGACAAAAAAATGAAGAACGCATTATAGGTCAATATTGTTATGGTACAAGGAATAAAAGAGGAGAAAGTCTTGTTAATTTTGCCCAACAAAATAACTTCACCTTTATAAATAGTATTTTTAAAAAAGATACTAAAAAAATATGGACATGGCTTTCCCCCAAAAAGACTAAGACGCGGATAGACTACATATTGTCAAATAGAAAAATAAATTTACTAATATTGAAGTGATATGTAATCTTAATTTTCCAAGTGATCACAACTTAATTAGAAGCACTTTCACATTGGAAAAAATAAAACTGCGTAGGGCTGAGTATAGTGCGAATAAAAATTTTGTATCCAGAATATGTAATGAAAAGGTTTTCCTAGACAGCTTAGAATACAATCTACAATACACCAGTTTCAATATTTGGGATGACGTCGAAACCTGTTACGAAAAATTAAAACAAATTATTTTAAAAAGCCTAGATTCAGCAAAAACCATAAAAACTCAACGACGACGTATTATCTCAGATAATACAAGAAATATGTTAAAAAGAAGGAGTGAATTGCAACATAAAAAACCGCTGTCACGAGGTGAAAAGGAAGAACTTAGCCTTCTTTATAAATCTGTACACAAGAATATAAAAAGGGAATATGAGGCACATAGACTACAGACACTGGAAAAACAATTACTTAAAAAAGGTAGCGTTAAGAAAGGCCTTAAGGAACTAAATACTCTTAAAACCTGGATACCAAGCCTGAAAGGAGAGGAAATTGACAAAAAAGAGTTTTCTAGAAACAAGATAGTTGATATTGCTACAAAGTACTTCCAAAAATTATATGAGGAACGAAATACATGTGATCATTATGCAAATATTCACAGTTTTCCTACTTCACCAGAAATAGTTAAAAAATTTGATACTCTTGAAATCCTAAGAAAGATAAACAAGCTAAAAACAGATAAGTCTTGTGGTCTAGATGGAATACCATAATCCAAGGTAAATTGTTATTAACGCCAATTATAACAACACTCTTTAATAAAATACTTGAGGTAAAAGCTATACCTAATGCATGGGCAGAGTCAGATATAATCCTTTTATATAAAAAAGGTGATCCTACAGACATTGGTAACTATAGACCGATAAGCTTACAACCAAATCTCTACAAATTATTTGCTTCATGCATAGAGAGCAAAATCTCCACGCATATACAGGATTTTCAGCCCACAGAACAAGCTGGTTTCAGACGAGGATTTTCAACAATTGATCATATTTATGTTGTGGATCAAATTATTGAGAAGTATAAAGAAAAAAAGAGACCACTATATCTGGCATTTATAGATTACGCAAAAGCTTTCGATTCCATCTCTCACAACAGTATGTGGAATGCCCTCCACGAATGTAAGGTACCATCAGGAGTGATTGAACTAGTTAAGGATATATACTCAAAAAGTGTAAGCCGAATCAAACTAGAAAAAAGGGGACCCAAAATACCCATTAAAAGAGGAGTTAGACAAGGTGACCCACTTTCTCCTGCCATATTTATAACAGTACTTCAAAGCATAATGCAAAAGCTTAATTGGACACATAAAGGTATAATTATTGATGGTAATTACTTAAACAACTTAAGATTCGCTGATGACATCGTTTTATTCTCAGAAACATCACTACAATTAGAGGAAATGATAAACGAACTCTGTTCTATTAGCCGAGCAATAGGATTGGAATTAAACAAAAACAAAACAAAAATAATGACAAATCACGTACAAGATCCTGTCCAAATTAATGGATACCCCTTAGAATACGTGCAACAATACATATATTTGGGTAAGGAAATATCTTTTAAAAATTCACGGCATCATGACGAAGTTGATAGGAGAACTAGGATGTCATGGAACAAATTCTGGGGATACACAGAACTACTGAAGGCAGAGATACCAATATACTTAAAAAAGAAAGTCTTAGACGCGTGTATATTGCCATGTCTCTCTTACGGTTGCCAATCATGGATATATGACTCGAACACAAATAGAAAAATAACAACTTGTCAACGAGGAATGGAACGCAGTATACTCAATTTAAAACTGAAGGACAAGATCAGAAGTACACAAATAAGAAACATAACAAAGGTTATTGATGCACTGTCCTATTGCAAAAAACTTAAGTGGAAATGGGCGGGCCATACCGCTCGAATGAATAATGGCAGATGGACAAAAAGGGTAACAAAGTGGAAAGGGCCACCAGGAAAAAGAAAGCGTGGTCGCCCTCTTGCACGGTGGGCCGACGAGCTTAAGAAAGTTGGTGGAGAGGATTGGGAGAAAAATGCTCAAAACAGAGAGAGATGGAGTCAACTGGAGGAGGCCTATACTCAATAAGAGGTCCTTGGAAAAACAAAATGTATATATATATATGTATGTATTTTATGTGTGTGTGTATATTTTGTAACTTTTTGTAAATATTATTATGTAAATTTTTCAAGGAATAAATGAGGCTTAATTATTATTATTATTATTATATTATAATACTTTATTTAAATTCTTTTATGTAAATTTGTTTAAATCTTATCAGAATTAATATGTGATGCATAGTTATTTTACTAATTATATTTTGTACCATACCTGCTTCATCATGGATACTTTTAAGATCAGATTGTCCTGAAGTCTCTGAACAGTTGTCATTTGTCATATCAATCCCTGCATCCTCATCGGAAGAGTATGGAAGCTCTGTTCTTCTGTGCTCTGTAATTAATATTGAAATGGTATAATAGGAACTGAAGTCTCTCTCTCTCCTCATTGGGACGGGTTATAAGATGCTGAAAGTTTATCATCATTCCAGTAACAGACAAAAACCCTAACACTATGAGTTTTTACAGCAAGTGTTTATTGCTTTTTTACTTAAGCTTATAAGAATTTTATATAACAGCATAGAGCTTAGTTCTTAGTTAAAAATAAAATCAGATTTTTTTTTGTTTCATTATAAATAATCATTGTTTCATAATAAATAAAGCTTAAATATATTGCAATTGTAATTTTTATTGTTATGAAAAAATATTGAAGAGATTATTTTTTATAGAAACGGTTTCGTGTTTAACCAAAAGAGAATAATAAAACTTACATAATTTTGACATGCGTAATCTACCAGGTAACAAGGTCGTGCTTGTATAAAATTTTAACGATTATAAATAGCTACAATATGTGACACTAGTAAGGTTACATACTCGCATGTTATGAAATAGTGATTGTAGTGTTACGAGTAACTTGTGAAATGCGGAACCACAAAGACTTAAGATATATTTCTTTGTACCATGTTTTCTGTGTACCATTAGTGCTTTGTGTTTATTTATACGTGGACTGTCATTAGCGAGAATATTGCGACCACAAGGTCGCCGCGTGATCTCATTTTGAAAAAATTCCAGCACACTCATGCAATTTTTGTTCTTTTCATGATTTGCGATGAAATAAACCACTGAAACTCACCGAATTTTCCTTTTTTCTTTCCTTTAGGCATGTTGATTTCTGTTTCTCGACGTACGACGAACGACTAACAAAAAAAACTAAAATATTCACTATTTATTTTGCTAAATTTCTCACTTAATCAAGACGGAGAAAAGTTTAATATATCAGTTCTTATAGTATAATGGAGACACCAAATGGAACATAAAACTAAAATTTCAGAAAAACTTTTTAACATGTTTTTAACCGTGTTTCATGCACGCGCGCCTCCACTGATTTGCGCGATTTTTCTGACAACTTGTCAATTTTATCCGCCATTTTGCGCATGCGTTGTGAAACATTTTGGTGCTGCCAATAAGAAAAAATATTAAAACCACTGGATTTTTGCTCTAGATTTCCTGTTTATTTCAAACTGAGCCAAATAAATCAGAGTCAATTGATATATTTTAAGATTTTAACGCCACAATGGCTTAAAAAGACTACTAGTCTCGGTTATTTATGGCACACAGTATAGATATAGTTTTATAAAAGTTTGACTAAATTATACTATACTGCACTGGCAATCCGTTGTCAAAATATGGCGCAATGCTACGATAGAACTTAATATAAACTTTGAAAATTACTCATAAAAAAATGTGTAATTAAATCATCTTGTGCAATTTGGTAAAGAGAATGATGTATGGTTAAACTAAGAATTTAATTTTTTTTAATTATTTTTGTTTACGTTCTATTTACTATGTTACAAAGATTTTTCAAAAATAGAATCTTTCCTTCTACTGTGATTTTGTTCCCTTTGGAGTGGGGACCAGAGCCATGGATTACAAGTAAACAGGAGCTGATCAAAGATTTAACTTGGCGCCTAGTAGGAACGGGGAAACTGGTGCTTTTCACGCTCAGCATATAGGTATCGCAATTCTGCCAGCATTAATAATAAAGTAATACTCTGTGACAGGTGACAACTTTTTATTTTATTATTCTAAATTATTTATATTATGTTTATATTTTATTCTAAGTTATTAATGTAATTATTGTATCTAAGCTGTTGATATCTATTTGGTCGGTTTATATATGGTTCGGGGTGTTTTTACTAGTTGTGATTGTTATGGGTTCAATTTATTAACATATAACACACCGTAGCTTTGTTGATAAAGTCTGGATTCGATTGCCTGGTGCCGGCGACTATATAATTGTTTCGGGTTAGTAGGCACAAAAGATTAATCACCATTGGTACTTAGTCGCGAAATAAATCAATGAAAGAGATTGAGAAATGTGTCGATTGTGCAATTTAAATAATAAATAAATATTTAAAACAAACCTTTTACTATTCGTTGTTATTTAATTTGTAACGTTTTATTTTTTTACATACAGGACAATTTAACATAAGATTTATAGAATAGAAATATTTTTTCCTCTTTAAATATATTTTATCTTTAAAGTAACAAAGGAACACAAATTTGGTTATGTCTTACTTACAGTTAATTTACAATAACTTAAATACATATGACATAAAAATAACGTAAAAGCCGCTGTATAAAGCTGCAGCTCCATTTCTTTGTTCCTGTGGTGTTTCTTCATTGTGCATTTCCTTCCATCGCGCCTTACCCTGATTAGACCCAGACAATTTGCCAAATCTATATTCTGCACACTGAATTGTAACCGTTGGAGGTATGCCAAGGAAATGAAGCCGTGAGCTCTTTTTCTTGAATGCAAGAGATCCTCTCATCTGCTCCATCTCTTGTCCATTTATGTACCAGCGAATTTCGGCTCCGGGCGCACCGCGGCAATATGCTTGCATATCGTCATCTTCACCAAACTCCTCTGCCAATCCTTCTAGAACCGGTTTCCTGTGCTTATGACCATGCACCTCCATGTAACCCGTACGTGATTCAAACTGGTAAGGCGGCACTTCCTTCTCAATATCACACTTGTAGATACCCGTGGCTTCTTCAGTCAATGCACCCAGCCTGAGGCGACAAGCTGTCGGTCCACAGTGAACTAATTCAATTCTTCCAACCCCCAAAATCGGGAACGATCTCGTACTTGGCGCAGCACCAGGTTTATATCTGAAAAACTCGGTGTTCCCTTTGAACCAGTTGAGCAGAGTGAAGTTAGCGTCGTATCGGCACTCAATTTCAATCTCATCTTGGCCAGGTGGAACTATGTGAGGGATGATTAAGTCTGTGATATTAAATGGGCGAGACTCGACAAGCACGCTTGCGAATAAGACAAATGCGATCGCTAGCATGGTGTTGGGATGCGCGCGCGCACGACACTGCTCCCTACGACTCTAACGCGATCTTAATTAAACAGTTTATTAAACTCCAACACTTAACCGTTGAGCTGATCCCTCGGGATACGACGAATTTTTTGTATTAATTGTTAGACAAATGTGTAATTGAGTTTCGCCAAGGGTGGCTGTTAATTTGGGGTCTCCCTAACTGTTTTGAATTATGGTCGCTCTTGTAAAATTAATTTACGATTATTATATGTGTAATTTAATTGTTTTAATAACTTTATCTAAAAAGTAAGTATTGAGTCTTTTAAAAGTCCGTTTTAGGTCCAATTCTTTAAACACCTGTGCGCCAACTCTACTTGTAAATTGCAACGTTGTAGGATTTTATCAACATCGGCAGTGGAGGGTTGAAGGTGGCAGCTCATTGTCCGAATCATCTCAAAATTACGCTTTATGTGTCATTCATTTTGCGAGATTAGAGGCACGTTTTGCCATGTATGTTTTTAAGTGTCAAAACACCTATGTTATATTGGCGTAAAATTGAAATATGTACATTGTCATAAGATTACCTTCGATCGCCTGTTAGCTAAATTTTACTATACTTCTTTGAATTATAATCCAATAGTAGACAGATAAAACATGTTTAGATATCTTTCCATAGAGGTAGGTATGCGTACTATCTATGTTGTACACGGTTAGGTCCCGATAGCAAAAAAAGATGAAGACTACAAGAAGATGACGACAAAGTAAGATAACGGTCTCCAATTGTAACCAATATCTTCTATTTATTTTTAATGTAATGAATTAAACTATTTGTCTATTCATCTACTTTTTAGTTAATAACAGAAAAACAATAACTAACCTTAAAATATAATAACTAAAATATATTATTAAAAGGAGTCCCTTTAAGCAAAGTTCCGAAGATACTGGCAGCATTCCCTCTTTGAATAGTTAGACTAAATCTTTGTCTGAGGTAGCTGCCAGCTCTTCGGTCTCCTGTGATGACGGCTAACCTTTTTGCTATTTCCTTTAAAAAAACTGAACTAAACTACTACATTTTGAGATGTACACTTGTGTAAATCTGAGGATCTTGTGTAATCTGTGATGTTAATTGACATGACCTATTTTTTTACAAAACGAATGAAAGAGAATTTGTCTTTGGTCTATAGACAGTTATTAGTGTGATTATCGGATGTAGAATGTATCCTACATGCTTAACATGTTGTGTTTGTTTCTTTGAAACGCATCTAGAAAGTAACGCTTTGAATGAAAAAAAAGCGTTCTTCTTTATTTAATTTTAATTTATTTATAGCCTTATATCAGAAATACAAAATATATACATTATAAGGATTGTTTTTCTTAATCTACGATAACTTATTCTGTGTGCCTACGGGCAAGGGCCTCCCCTTTTGTCCTCCATTTTTCCTTATTGTATACCAATCTCGTCCAGGTTTTAGTCTTTCTAGCCATTCTCATGATTTCATCGGCCCACCTTTTAGATTGCCTACCTCTGTTTGTTTTATGGCCTGTATTTAATTAATCTTATTAAATTAAAGAACAATTTCATCAGCGGCGTGATGCTCACATTCTTCATCTCTTATTTTCCATCCTTCGTCACAAATTACAAATTTTAGAGACCATAGCTATAGTCTACGCTCTTCCGAAAACTATATCCTTGAAATGCCATAACTCACTCACTTCCCGTCTCTACCTTTATTTAAATCTCTACTGTACAAGCATTACCTGTCCACATCGTATCCATAACTTTCGTACTAACTGATCTGAAATTATCGTGATTCATGTGCCCTTTTCTTTTTCATATGTCATTTTGTTTATTACTGTCTTGAGTTTAAATTATTAGACAGATTTATTTTTTTTTATGTCTGTGGAATTGTTTGTAGCTTTTATTTTATTAAGGAAGCCAACAGCTTTTATAAAAATTACAAAACCAAATGTATTAACAAATAATTGCTATGAACGGCCTACCTTAGTAAATATTATGAAATTGGAAGGCAAGTTTTGATAATCAATTCAGATTTCATGCCGGTTTATGTCAACGAAATGGAAACCGTATTTATTATATGACTAAAATTAATAGGATTACTATGTGACTAAAAATCCGAATAAATGATATTTTAGAATATTAGTTTTTACAAAATTTCGCTCTCAGTTCGCTTGCTACTCGTTATGATGAATCCTTGCTCAGAGAAAATTCCCCAGGTTTCGTTTTTAGGGCAGTTTTTGCCACGCACCATCACTATGTGGAACCAGCTGCCCACTGACATATTTCCGAACCAATTTAACTTAGGATCTTTCACGAAAAAAGTACCAATTCTCAAAAGCCCGGTAACGTGCTCGCGAGCCCTCTGGCATTGAGTGTCCATTGGCGCTATCACTGAATATCAGGTGTGCCTCCTGCTCTTTTGATCCGTGTTCTATATAAAAAAAACGTGTGTGTACTTTTGTTAGAAGTTAGAAGTTATAAGTACATAGTATGTTAGAAGTTATACTTCTTTGGCGTAACAAGATAGAAATATTTTCAAAAAATTTATTCTACGATTGTAGAAAAAACGACACTAGACAATAGACAAAACTAAAATGTTGACTATAGCTAGCTTCAGGGTGTCGATTTTTTGTGACGGTGTGCGCGCACATCGTAAATTTTTTCCCTAACGCGCCAAAAGAAGTACAACTTCAAAAAAAGGTTGGTCGTTTCGTCTTATTCCATTTTCTAGCCATAATTAATGTATCCACGTTGTAATATATATTGTGATGTCTACACACTAAAATTCTTCAATAAAATCCATATTAATTTCCCATTTACATAGTAATTGATATTTAGGGGTCGGGAGTGTCTTGGGCCCACGCGTCGGAAGCAAGACATTACAATTTTATTAGCGGTAATCTTCTTAAGTGTTATCAGCCTAATTGAATAATGCATCGCGATCGCTATGCCTAACGTCCATTGTTTTAATATTCAAGAGTCATTGGCAGATTTGCAAAAGAGTTTGGATTATACAGTGTAAACTCTTTATAACCTCATTCGTTAAAACAAATTCTGTATAACGTAAAAATAGGTTACATGTGTTTGGTTTAACACAAAAGCCATACATATATACATCTTTATAACGCAACAACCATTCTCTATAACGAAGAAATATTTTCATATTTAGACATAAACAACATACTTAAGTGTAATTGTTTTTATAATCAGCTTACAAAACTAGCCTTTTGAGGTGCTGAAATTTCTAAGAAAGACTCCTGAGGTCATAAACAGCAGTCTCGCCTTTGCTATTGTTAATTGCATTAACACGTGTGCCATTATTCTTAGATTACATTGCCTGTAGTAAATTTTGGTCTCAGTTACTAAACGCACCACCGTCACTCTTTTTAATCGCCAAGTTTTGAACCATACATATTGAAATGCCATGCAAATCAATCCCAAGGATTAGGATCATTTAAATACTCGTCAAATTTTTAAAAAGCTTTATTGATTAATTTACGTTTAGGATTGTTTTGAATGTAGTGATAATTATCTAATTTCGCTTGGGACTTTGTTGTAACAACGAATACAATTGCCATATAAGGAGTGGTTTATCTTCTGGAAACCTAGTATGTTCAACAGAGTGTACCTACTAGACGAAGATTAATGACGTAGATAACGAAATCTGAACTACTCACATATACGTAGCGATAACAACCTATACATATCCTAAGGCCTATTGGTTTTAGCGCCTTGAACTAATATCTATTTACGATTCCTCATTGAGGTTATAAATGACGGAAGAGTGTGTACGTTTACTATATTTATGTATTTCTCTCTCTTCAATCGGCAGCTCACGTCTGAGCGACGTGGTCAGCAAGGAAGCATCTGGAGCGGATTATTGTTTCCACCGGTTTCAGCCAGCGTCTCTTTTTTGAAAGTTTTGAGGACGACAAGTCTTTCACGTGATCAGCCCATCTGGTGGGTGAACGGCCGCGTGATCTTTGCCTTCTGTGTCACCAACCACGATCAGTGTCTTCAAGTTCTCATCGCCTCTGCGCATTGTATGACCGAAATAAGATACAGTTCGCTTTCTATAGGCGATAGGTATTATTCTTATTTATATATTACAGTGATAATATTGTTTAAATAATTTCTAAATAGGTATAACAAAATTAGTAACATTAATAATTTTATAGTTTTAGCTAATTAATAGTCTAGTATAAGATGGTTTTATTAGTTTGTTAAAAAAAAGGGTGCGTGTACTTATGTACGCGCGTAAGAAGTTAGGTAAACTTCTTTGGCATTATTAAAAATAGTTTTTGATTGCATGCAAATAATTAATTACAATTAAATAATCAAAGACTGGAAAAGGAGTCATTATAGTCAATAAAGTTCAGTTTACATTTGAAAAATTAAATAAATAAATATTTATTATTATTCTCTTACATTAAGTGTAACATAAATTCTATTATTATTCGAATGTTGTTTTTAAATTATGTCCAATGCCGTAGCATCTTCCGTGGGTAATTTCATTCTGTTAATTTTGTGTCACGGTGCGCGCGCATCGTAAAATTTCACTCTCATCAATTTTTCATAACGCGCCTAAAGAAGTATAACTTCAATAAATAAAAACGTAAAAACACGTCATAGTGAACGTAGATTAGGGTCACAGAATAGACCATTAATGTAGGTATACAAAGTAACATTAGGATATCAAGAAGAATTAGACTAAGTAGTTGTTAGTCTAATAGCTGACACAGGATGTCGAGGTTACAAGAGATCACTTTCATTTTTTTTTCATTGAGCGATACACTTTCATACAATTCACTTAATATGAGAACAAGATCAATCTATACAAAACATACAACCCAATCTACAAGAAATACATTGAAGCAATAGAGAACATTAAAAAAAGTTTCTTAAGTTTTAAGGATTTCCTTAGGTATATTAGCTCTTGCGAGTACATTCGCTTTTACTATTACACACCACTTCTACATACAATACAAGGCAAACCCAACTATTTCAAATTTCCTTGGTCTAATACAAACTATTTACGTAATTCATTCATGTATCGTATACCTTCAGATTATAACACAAATTACCAGCAAATGTAACTAAAAAATACTTATAAAATAATATAAAAAAATCCATTATTAGATATAATGGCTTTATTGAATTAATGTTACAATTTGTGGGCCAAACTGAAGATTTTTCGAGGAAGCAATTTTGTTTTAAGCTTTAACCCAAGAAAAGAGACTAGGTAAACGGTGCATTACACAAATTAATTTTTCACGAAGAATATGGTCGGTTATTAGCCGAATTTAAAAAATTGGCAAATCTTTTGGGTTGTCAATTCGGCATTTATTTTGTCACCTATTGTAAAATAATATGTAATCTTAATATATATATTTCTTCTGTGCGTGTGTATGTGACTGAACTCCTCTCAAACGACTGGACCGATTTTGATGAAATTTTTTGTGTGTGTTCAAGGGGATCTGGGAATGGTTTAGATTCACAAATCAGCCCGGCAGATGGCACTGCAGTCGGTACTTTCATACTTTGCTTAATATCCTAATCGCTTTAAATATCATGCAGGACAACGTCTGTGGGGTCCACTAGTGTATGTATATGGAAGAAACTTTTAAATATGTATTATGACATTAGCTATTCAATTAACATGATAATTAAGGAATTGTCGGTACATTTTTGATGTCATGCGGGAAATAGCAGTTAATTATAATTATGGTCGTAATTAAATTAATTTGGTGTGATTTGTCACGCGCGTTGGGTAAATTCAGACCCTTTTAAATTAATTCTTCCTAATTTCCGTGGGCTTCACCGTTTTTAATAAAAATATAAGTTTGATGAATAAATATTAAAAACGGTAATTATTATAAAAAAACTAATTATTTTTCATCTAAGTTATATAATATTACGGTTAGAAAATAGGAATAAGTGGATAGAAATTAGACAAACATTTGTTTATTCCCTCTGCTTAACATTATTATACCCGTATATTTTATATTATAATCAAAGTATTATCAACGATATTATAATAGAAGTCATTTAAAAAAATTTTAAGTCGTTGAATCAGGTATAGCGACATCTTTTGTCTTTATAAAGAACTTTCACAGAACAACTTCAAGCCTTGATTGTCGTGTTATCACTTGTAATAGTTAGAGGTTTGTTCGATAGATGTCGCTTAAATCCATTAAAATAAATAGCGATAAAAATAAATAAGAATGATTCGTTATGGTATAATTAAATAATTGTTTTCTTTTTAATATTAGTAGTAGTAGAAATAAATTTTTCTACATCTATAAAAATTTCTAAAATAATCGACCGATTTAAGGAAGCATTCGGCAGGTCTTCTTTTTGCAGCTTTTGCTGAATTATAAGTCTTAAATAGCTGTTTACTTTAATGGACGACCCTGAGTTCAGCTCTCAGATAGTTTTTCCTTAGTGCTACATGTGCTAGTTTTTACTTTGAACTAAAAAGGCTCATACATTAGTTCGTGTTACATTTTCTTCTCCCATTCGGCTAAGTGCACGTGCGGGGTGTTATATCCTCGTTAGGCTGGTGGAGTGTCAATTTACGGGATTTATGTCGCATTCCGCGCCCTACTGCGCGATTTATTATGTATTCTAACTTCTTCTAGTAGCTTATGAGATCCTAGTATCCCATTGTCCGTAAAAGGCTCCGAATCGCTTATAAATAATATCAACATTTTCGTATTTACAAATAATATTTTAAACAATTATTATTGTTAATGATCCATATTAATTATTACTGAATCAAGCAACGAAAAATCAACGAGTCTTCAAAATAATATATGCACTGAACATATTCATTATATTTAAATATTGACATATACATATTTAAAGGCAAGCCCTCTGGCATTGTGAGCCTCCTGCCCGTTTGCCCTCTGTTCTATAAATAAAACAATAATTAGTGTAACACAAATAATACACAGTAAAATTTTAGTTTAAAAAATCTTATTTTTTTCTATTTTATTATTATCCCGTTTTTTTTGCATTCAAACAATACACATGCTACAAGGAGGACAATCAGATAATTATGAATAATATTGTAGAAACGATCTACATGTGTGAAAATGACATGAGAACTTAAGAGGCAGCGCTAACCAGATCCATGCAACTTCTTCACAATCGAGTAGCTCGCAATATCGCAGCACACAGCAAGAGTCCCCTTTGTATGGAAGAAGTCGCTGTCAACCGAGTCATTTATGGCAGACATGTTTCTGGGTCCATTATTATATTTAGGCACAAACTTGCAGGAAAAGCAAGGCTTTGTTTCGCCGGGATTCGAACCTCCAAGTCAACCATAAGCATCATGGGCTTATGCTTATAAAAACTGTGGGATTACATACAAACTTTTGAATTAAATTTATGTTATCCGATATATGCTTAAAATATATAAGAACTTTGATTTCACAAATGTTACATACATACACAATAAATTAAAAAAAAAATAACAAATTAAAGAACAGAAAAAACTATTAATCACTATTTAATAGAACTTGATAGAATAAACTTTAGCATGGAGCCAAAGTTGGTGTAAAATGGTAACGAGCTAGGAGACATACCTTAAAATTCCTGTGAAATGCAACTAGCCGGTAGCGGACAGTTAAGTTCCTCTTAAATTCTAGTTTCATGTAGGAATGTTACGAAGCTGGCAACACAGGTACGGATTTGAAACTATAAGGCTTTGAAGCTTAACATAACGCCTCTAAAGGATAGACTAATTAGTCCGCAGTTTGATTTTCAAACAGTTCGTCGACAACCGTTGTGAATATTACTTTAATTATTTGTATTAATATGAATATGGCCTTTTTTAAATGAAAAGTAAAAGTTGAAAAGCAAATTTGCGTATACTTACTGTATACGCAAATTTGCTGTAAATAAAGCATTTATTTAAGACAGATTATCGTTTAATATATTATAATAGCTATATTTTATATACAAGACCTAGGGAGTACGGTAAAATATTTTTTATAAACATAGGTTATCATGATTTGTTACTAAGACTTATTAAGAATGGTTATCTTCACAAGGTTATCTTCACAGGAGTATCAAACTCCGTATTTACAAAACAGTTATAAGACCCATACGGATGTGAGACTTGGACTGATCAAAGAAGAGGAGAAATTATTAGTAGGCGAAAACTTTATGCGGAAGATTTTAGGCGCGACAAAGAGGATGGAAACTAGAGAGTCAGGAAAAGCAAGTAAATCGAAGGATTCATAAGCAAACCCAACATTTGTGAAGCTAAAGCTTAAAGACTCTGAAGGAGTTTAAGAGAATGGGAGAAGATTGAAGAGTTAAAAAAGAGTTTCACGGTATACCAAACAGTCCCCGGCGGCAGCGACAGATGTCGCTGGAAAGACTCAATGAAGAAGAACCGTGTGGATTGTAGTAGCGTGGGATTGGTTGGTGGGGTCTCTAGTTCCGGAGGCCTAGGTCACTTTGCAGGCTGCGCCAGCTCAATAAGTAAGTCCTGGCCTATGTTTTAAGCGCGCAACTGTCACCTAGCAGTGCCTCCAAATCTCCTTGCGCCAATTACCACATGCACATTTAACAGAACGGATAAAATTCACAGAAAACTGAGGCAAAAATCAAGGGTTGAATCCACTGTTTTTGAAACGAAGTTGTGATTGAGAACTCTTGATACAGGGGTTCAACGCACCATGCGTTTGGACGGTTAGTATTTAAGAACCCCTTAATATACGCGTCATTGATATTACGTAATGGTACAAGTCCGCTCCTTGAATTATCTAACTGATCGGGGATGCTGTCAAACTTCGCCATTCCATTATTGCAGTTGCTATGAAGTCGGACGAAGCAATTGTACATAGTTTAGTAACGAGCTGGCGTCTTCGGGATGCCTCCTGTCCGAATCATTGCAATTTGGCATTTAATGTACAATACTAGAAATACTTGTATCCGACCAAAATTAGTTCGGACAATGTAATAATAATACCCAAAATGATATTAAATTTAATAGTACGAGATTATTTTGAAAATTATGCTACTGTCTTTTTGATTTAATTGATCACCTAGATTATTTATATAGACCGGTTTTTGGAGATAATTTTGTCTATGTTTATACAATAAAGAAATCAGTGGCACTACAACCTTTTTAGGTCTGAGCCTCAGATTTCTGTATCTGTTTCATGATATATCAATCTAATAGGTTTATAGGCCTATTTCCTCACGATTTTTTCCTTTAGGCCCTTTCTCCACTGCTCCGGTCCGGCGTCGGATACCGGAATGAGATTTGAGAAAAATATCGAAAGGCCGGATTGCGCTTCTCCACTATATCCGATCCGACAATAATCGATACTTGTATATTTATCATGCAACACCTATGTTAACTAAAACCCATATACTTTAGTTTATTAATAAAACGTTCTAAATTCTGCATATTTTATTGCCCTGGCAAGTTTATTGCTTTTTTTATATCGTCTATCTTAAAATATTATAATCTACTTAATAAATAGTTCACTAATACCATGGTATAAAATATAAATAAATAGCAACATAATTTGGTTTGGTCCAGGTTATCCAGATTCTTTCAAATTAAACAAACTATAAATAAACCTGTGAATAATAATTTATAACCTCTTGGATACTTGGATATACTTGGACCGATAAAACACTGCGTTCCGATCTAGCAAGTTATCGGATCGTTAAAAACCGGATGCCAGAGTAGTGGAGAAGTACGTAAGTACTGTTGTGAGTTTCTAAATCGGATCGGTAATAAACGTGTGCCGGACCGTAGCAGTGGAGAAACGGCCTTACCGTTCGAGCGATTGTTAAATGCGCTAATAAATAGAAATAAAGTCCATTGGTGCACAGCCGGAGATCGAACGTACGAACTCAGGGATGAGAGTCGCACGCTGAAGCCACTAGGCCAACATTGCTCTATAGAATATCAGTATTACATATTTAATCAAATACATTTGAAGCCGTGCGAAGGGCCTTTTTTGAGTTGAGTTTTTAAGTTCATATTAAAACAGAAGCAAGATTTCTAATAAAGTATATGAGCAAGCGGGCATTACTCATAGGGTAAATGAGCATTCCTCCAGGCTCTAGGCTGATCATAGTGTCTCTATCCCGATTGCGTGACGCACGCGAGATCGCGTGACTCAGGTGACACGGCTCAGATGAATGGTAGCACCGATTGGTCTATTATAATCCTTTTGTTATGAAACGAGTATGTTTCGTACAATTTAATATTATTTTGTTGCTTTTTTTTATAAATAAATTACGTATATAACTTTCATAGATACTTCAATCTAGCCTTCTGCCTTAGACCCAAAAAGTCGGCGTGTGTCAGGCACATGGGGCTGATCACCTACTTGCCTATTAGATTGACAAATGATTATGAAACAGACACAGAAATCTGAGGCCCAGACCTAAAAAGGTTGTAGCGCCACTGGTTTATTTATGTCTTCTATAAAACTATAGTACATACATCACTTTGCTTTATTATCAATAGTTTCCGCAGCGTATGTGATAAAGGGATTTTTTTCACACCTTTGGTAACGTTCAGCTTCAAATGTATGTTAAATGAACCTCTCATTTAACATACATTTGAACTTCCGAACCTAAATTTTTTTTATAGAACAGGGGGCAAACGGGCAGGAAGCTCACCTGATGTTAAGTGATATCGCCACCCATGGACACTCTCAATGCTAGAGGGCTCGCAAGTGCGTTGCCGGCCTTTTAAGAATTGATACGCTCTTTTCTTGAAGGACCCTGAGTCAAATTGGTTCGGAAAGACTTCAGTAGGCAGCTGGTTCCACAAAGTGGTGGTGCGCGGCAAAAACTGCCTTGAAAAACTTTGGATAATTTTTATTTAAATTTAATTATTATTATGTTTTTAACATAATGTAAATGTAAATTTGAGAGGTACAAAGTATGTCAATAACATTAAATGCGTACTTCGCTTAATAAGCGATTTACATTATTGGGTTCTTTAATTTTTTCAATCGAAAGTCGAACCTTCTCGTTGTAAACTCAATTTCGTTAAGGGTATTTTCTTATAATGTCCTTTAAAAACTCATTATAGTAGTCAAGTCACCAATTGTAAACTTTTTAATTCTCTTATAAGGGCTACGAGAACAGCGGTTGATACAAATTTTGTACACAAACGTTTTGTCCCTATCGCTCTCGTGTCGCGTACGTATTTAAAAACGTGACAAGAGAAATTAGGTTTATGCTACCCTTACAAATGCAGTAAGTTAACACCTACAAACAGTATGATGACGTAATACCCTGTACTTCACAACCGTAGCCACTAGGTATGCCCGCGCGGCCAAGCATAATCAAAATCAGGGTAAAAAAACCGCCTTCACCGGGGAAGGCCTTTACTTCGTACTTCAGGAGATTCCTGCCCTTTAGGAGATTGATCACCGCGCGACGGCCCAACTCTCTTAGAAGACGCCCTTGCGCTAGTCGCGGGTAAAAGCCCATTCCGGCCGAGTTGCGCTCTCCAAAACAGACCCAGCTGAGCTGTGAAGACCTTAAGGCCAAAAATAGCCGGGCCTTCGGGCCAGCCAGTACTTAGACTGGTCGACGTTCAGGTTGAGGTCCGAGAACGAGCAGCACCTTCCTCCACAATAATATGTTAGTGCACGATAGTAAAGTAGAATATAAAGTGTGCATTATCCTAAGTGGTTTCTTAGAGCTGGAGATCTCTGAAAAGATTTATGGAGGAGACGGTGACTGTGGTTGGATAATTCCAATTCGAAGGTCCTGAAATCAGTGGAACGATAATTGCTAAACTGGACATACAGGAGATTAAGAGACATTATAGAATCACACAGACATAAGCATGCTTCTTGCCATATTGGGTGGTTACAGAAGGAATTATAACAATGGCAATACTGACGGGCAACACCATGAAATTTTTGAAGTTATACTTCTTTTGGTGCATTAGGGAAAAATGATGAGAGTAAATTTTAACGATGCGCGCGCACACCGTCACAAAAGTCAAAATCATTTATTCATATAGGTAATAAATACAATATACACACTTATGAACGTCAAAAAAAGAAAAACAAATAATAATAAAAAAAATCGACACCCTGAAGTTAGATATTGTCAACATTTTAGTTTTTTGTATTGTTAGTGTAGTTTTTTCTACAAACAAAATTTTTGAAAAGACTTCTATCTTGATAGCAAAGAAAGAAGTATAACTTCGTTTTTTTCTTTAAGATTTCTTTTTGTATATGACTTTTTTGACAAATAAGGAAATAAAAAACAAACACGTGGAAATGTTAATCTCCCACGGATTTTACAGTTAAGAGTATTAGATTGCTTGTCTCATAGCCCCAATCCAATCTATGCATTACAAGTTTGTGTACGAGGTCTCCAAGTTACTCCATATAAATGATAATGTCGCTCCAGGAATCCTGTTTTTATGGAATGTTTTTCAATTTAACCGCCTTGATAGGAATTTGAAGTTAAGGTCGCCCAGAAACAATTCTTTAAGTTTCGCATTCTACGAGCTAACTGGATGAGTGGTTTTGATAACAGATCGTGATGTCTCGGGTTTATATAATAATAATAAATAATAATAATAATAAAAACTTTATTGATGACAGAAAGGTTTGTGACAGAAATCATAAATCGCTAGTCCCCACACTAGGGAGGCCCTGTGTTGTGGGTAACTAGAAAACAATTGTTTCGTGGTACATGTTAAAATTAGTTTAAAAATGTGATATGAAAAAATGATAATAAAAAATAAAAAATACCAATAATAGTTATAAATTTAGTGTTACGTATGAAGTGAATGAGTGAGTGTGTGAATAGGTGAGTTTGCGCATGTATTTGAGAATGTAGCTGAAAGTTGTTATGATCGTGCACTGTGTCTGTGTTTATGAAACCTCAAAGTCATACCAAGATATGTAGTAATGCCTCTGTGGATTCGAAATCCAATTTGGCTAGTGTAGTTTCTATGTGACTTGCTAATTTATATCTGGATAGTTTTACGATCTCAGAGTCCATAGATTTGGAGATTTTGTTATAAAGGAAGGGGCCCCTAAATGCAAAGGAGCGTTGTCCAAATACAGTCCTTCGTTTTGGCGTTGGGAATGCAAAACGTCTGTTCTTAGATGTGTCCTGAATTGTGAGCCCATGGAATCTATGATATCTTGAACAGGTCGCCAAGATGTAAAGCTTCCTTACCGAGAGGGTTTTTGTTTCTAGGTGGAGTTTGACTGTGGGGTATCTAAACGGCCTGCGATAGGCAACTTTAAGGATTGCTCTCTGTGCACGTTCCAACTTAAGCAATAGAGATTCAGCCGCTCCTCCCCATGCCGATATACAGTATGTGAGAATGGACTGACAAAGTGCAAAATAAATTATTCTAATAACTTCGTCCTCCGCTACTCGTTTCAGTCGATTAAATATTAACATAAGCTTTCTGATCCTAGAAGACTGTGCATCAATGTGCTTTTCCCAAGTGAGGTGTCGATCTATTATTATTCCTAGATATTTTATACTTTCGGTGTATTCGAGAACAGGACACTGGCATGGATATTGGTTATAGCACGTGTGGAGTTTTATGACTGGTAGGGTCGTTGGGCGGGAGCGATCTGTTATGCTGAAACACATAAATTTGGTTTTGCTGAGATTTAGACTAAGCAGATTGTTTTGAAGCCAGTTGGAGACGCAATTTATACCTTTCTCAGCTAAGACAGAAACCTGTTCCCAAGTTTTAGCATGAAATATCATAGCTGTATCGTCGGCAAATGAATAAATATTTCCGTTGTCCAGTGACAGACTGCACAGGTCGTTGATATATATTAAAAGAGGGTCGGTGCAAGCGCACTGCCCTGTGGTACTCCAAATCTGACGTATTTCTTGTGGCTTGTGTGTCCCCTAAGACTAACACGCTGTTGCCTATCCTTAAGGTAGGATGC